ATTATAGTATTTTATTTGAGTACAAAAAATAGATGGAAATTTCTTGGTGTGTTCTTCACATACACAAACCCTCATTAAAAATCAAATTTCGGACTTGGATAAAGGGGTTTTGATCTTTTAAAATAGATTAGATCAAACTCAATTATTTTAGGAGAATAAAATTAATTTAATTAGGTGTTATTTGGTTATAAAATATACAACGGTGAGAATGAAAATCTTATTCTTACTTCATAGGTTTTTATTTATTTTAATACTAAGTAGTAACTCCGAAATTAATAATAACTCGCATCTTCAAACAAATAAAATTTCAATTAAATATTCAAATTTCAAAAGTCCCGCGAACATCGGGTAGTGACGGAATGGGGACTCCATCGATGATTTAGAGTTATGTTATAAGTTTAGTTTTTTTTTTTTTTTTTGAAGTTTATCTCCTTTATTTGTTTTCGTCATTTATGTCTAAGTTCTTTATTTCTACGTATTTATTTATTATTTATTTAATTTCAAGTTATTTACTTTATGTAATTTATTTTCTTTACATTTTAATTTTTATACATATTTATTTTGTAAACTTGGATTAGATATATTTGCTTTAAACTCGTTGCACACATCACAAAGAAAGCTTGCAAAAGCTTTGAGCCTAAGTTAAATCACTACTAGGATTTAAATAGAGAGATTCGAAGCAAGTAAGACGAAAGTCTAATAATGCTTATCTAGACTCTTGTTTAGACGAAAACTCACCCTATGCATAGAAAATTATGGAACGACCTTCCCATACCTTCGGTGCATAAGATTAGAGGTTGGATTACCTCATTGATAATTTAGATAGTCTAGAAACTTGAAAAGACTTCAAGATTAGACAAACTTTGCTTAAACCCTAGAAAAGCTAGATCCTATCTATTAGGGTTAACCCTTTAAGATACGAACTATCTTCAAATGATGTCAGTTCTAACCTTTATTTTTTACAAGATATCATAAAAAAAAAAATCATGACGAGAGAATGCTATTAAGGATTCTAGAGCTGGATAAGAATGAGCCTAGTTTGAGGAGGGAAACCATCTACCCTTAGATTTTATGTTGAAGCTGAAAAAAAAAAAAAAGGTAGGACCCGCAAACGATAAGTGCTCTACTAAAGATGAACTCATACAAAATTCGAAACCACATAGCTATTATTACCTCAAGTCCAGTGTCTAGGATTGTAAAGAGTAGAATATGAATATACCTATAATTATGAGCATTATAATCTAAGTGGTTGTAATTGTAACCAAATAGCTATATTGTATTTGTCGTTCAATGAAAAATGACTCTAAGTTACATTTAAAACGTGCTAAAAGTTCAAATTTCAAAATCTTTCATGTATGCTCGTTATAAGATGCGTCCATCGCTCAAGGTCCTAACTAAAAAAGAAAAGAAAAAGAATTAGGGTAGATATGTTTCTCAAATTACTTAAAGTATTTGTGAGAATGTACTCTCGATGAGTACTAAAATCTAATATGATCCATCCTCGGTATAAGCTCGTCATGATTTGAAGTCTATAATAGCAAAACAACATATCCAATTTAGTTCACATCTTGCATATATATATATATTCACTTTACATTCACTCGTATATATTTGTTTTGAGTTTGTTTTACAAGATCCGAAATATAGACCGTCCCGCTAAAGGTTAACTCCCACCTTGAATCCACTACATCCGACTTAGGCATTGCTAAATGGAAAAATAAGAAAGAAAACACTAGGAATAAGCCCACCAACAGGAACTTGACAAAATAAAAGAGGAAATTATCAGTCTAACCAACATACTAGAAAAGGCCATGTTAGCATTATCAACTTCAACCTACGCCCAAGCTTAGAGAAATATATCGCATGCCCTTCCGATGCTCAACTTGTAGCCTAGGCCACCTACTATGATATCCATAAATCTAGGAACAAGATCATTCCATACTAAGACTTCTTATCCTATTAGGCCATTGACTTATGCAATGTGTCCATAAATGCCACAAATGTAATGAGCATCGACCATGAACCTCACTAGTGAGGAAACCGTTAAAGCCAAAGAGCTAGAAAGGTCCAATAAGGATAAACTATCCGGTATTGAAGAATGCTTCGAGGGTCGTTGAAGGGAAAGACGTCTATGACCCCGTAAAAGCAAGTTGAAATATGCTTGGCACTTGATGTGGTAATTCTAAAAAAATTGAGAGTATCCGAATTCACTAAGTATATTGGTACTTAATGCCTCATGACTTATCCGAGAGTTTACTATAGCAACATGCTTGAAATAATACACGATGAGAAGTTGTTGATACACTTTTTTTTATGAGAGTTCGGGAGGATCCGCTTTGAGCTAGTGTATAAGGCTATAAGGGGTCAAGATCAAGAAGCGAAGGATCCGATCGATGCTTATATTAAGTAGTAAAAGTTCAACATAGAGGTAGCCTCAAACCAATCGATATGCGGGGCATGGAAAAAGTTCCAAAAAAGTCTTCACGGAGTATGCCCAACGGTGACGTGATATGGCGACTCGAGTTATCCATCACTATTTGAACAGGAGTTGATCGTTATTTTCTTAAATACGTTTAAGATACCATATTTTGAATATTTGATTGGAAACTCTTTTATTTTCTAACATTGTTATCATAGCTAAAAGGGTAGAACAAGCCATCAAAGTTAAAAATAATCGCGACAATTCTATAAAGAAAAGGAACAAGTGGTACCAAGAGGATAGATGGTGAAATAAACCAAGTTGAGATTAAATCCTATCAATCCAAGCAATTGAGAAAGTAATAGAGGAAAACATGACAACCATGATAGTCCTAGCAACTCCCAAAGCTCTTCATTTACCCAATATTACCCTGACCCAATTACTATCGTGAACTAAATGTATCCATCAAATTAGTTTAATCCATGCTATCTACCCCTCAAACATATCGAGTAAATCAATTCCCTCCAACTATTACACCTTTTCAAAAATCATAAACTTTTAACCACTCATAAATACAACACAACCATTACCACCAAAACAACTTATATTACAAAAATAAATTCGAACAACTACCGTCTTTACCTTTCTCATTGGATGAAATATTTAGGCATTTAGTAAGTATCGAGCAAATCATCACATTCTAACCTAATATGATGAAACCTCCTTATTCTTCATGGTACAAACCGGATGAAGGATGTGAATGTCATTCATATTCGATTGGATATAACATCGATGATTGTCTTGCTTTTAAGAAGAAACTATTAGATTTAATCAAACAAGGTTGAATCGGTTTTGATAACGATTTGAATGCTCTCAACATGAACATCAACTTGCTCTTAAACCATGCAGTTGTCCATTCATGAGATGAAGATACCAAGTGAGTTTGAAAAAAAAATTTGATGCATGCTTATAATTTACAATTATGGTCTTTTAATTTTGTCAACTTTTTGAACTTTATTTCAAAAAAACAAACCAACAAAAACAAGAAAAACACATTTTGGCTACACATCCCCATATAAAATAAAATGCTTTGGCTTTCAAAAAATCTTTTAGACCAATAAACTACTAAGTTGAAAGGAGTAAATTATAACTTAGTCCCTCTCATTTAGACAAAAGAATTAATTAGTGATTTTCTTTTTAAAAACTAATCATTTAGTTATTTATGTTTTAATTTCATCAATTATTTAGTCATTTCATCAGTTTTTTTTGTTATATTAGTGATTTTTGTTCGCAAATTGCCATTCTTTTGATTTTTACTTGAGAAAGAAAAAAATGGGTGAAGAAAAGAAATAGGAAATTTAAAAAAAGGATAATTTAAGAAAAATTATTAATATAATGAAAAACTAATGAAAGAATTTAGTTATTAATGAAATTAAAACATAAAAAACTAAATAATAATTATTTTTTTGAAAAGAAAACTAACTAATTTGTTTTCAAGATGAGAGCGACTAATTTATAATTTACTCAAGTTGAAAGAGAGCATAAATATAGGCCGGTAGGATGGAGAGTAAAATATGAGCCAGGGTATAGTTTTTTGAACCAGCAACAGACCCAAATGTTGCGGCCCGGCCCCCCAGCAACCCCCCCACCCCTCTCTCTCTCTCTCTCTCTCTATTCAATAATTTGTTTTTACTATGTTTTTTTTTTTAGGAAAAGTTTTCTCTAATAAAAAAATAAATTTATAATTTAATATTCTAAATGTAACGAATACTTTATTATTTATTAAAGAAATTGATAAAAATATTTTATTAATAAGTTTTTAAAAAATTGATGTAATAGTTCAAAAAAAATTAACATAATCAAATAAAATATATATATGAAAAAAATTAAAAATTAATATATTTATAGTACAATTGTTTTATTAATTATTTATGCGTTATTTAAGTGAGGGGACAAATTTTACCAACCACTTTTAAGTTTCATAACTTCATTTTTGGGCACCTAGTGTTCTTTATGTTTTCATCTTTTTTTGACAGAATATCTGCCGCACTCATTCGGCCGTCTTCAAACTCCATAAATTTCCAGACAGCTACCTTTGTCCTTCACATTTTTACTCAAAATCTCTACTCATATTAATTTATCATTTAATGATAATGGGCCAACCATACTGATTCAACTACCTTTTGGAGTTTGTGGTGGAGAAATATACGCATTGAGTTATCATTTAGTGATAAACAAGAAAATCCACCGGCAAATTCCTTTTAATAATTTTTTTTCAGACATCTAATTCATAGCCAGGCACATGCGAAAATTAACCAGCTCGGATAATTTTAAATTAAGAGTACTGGAAGATATTGAGAGAGCGTGTGGAGGAGATGGACAGGAGGTGCAGAAATTAAATTGCCTCCATCCTAAAAAATAAATGAAGGTAAATTAATATGTACAAATAAAAGTACGACGTACAACGTTTATCTCCGTAAGGATGAAAAGGTTAAACTTCACCTTATAGAACAGGTAGAGCTAGCTCGGTCTACATTCTCACCACCTCTCTATATCCTGCATCCTTGCGCCGAGAGAAAAAATGGTAACACTATTGGCAATACTTCTGGTAACGTTGTTGGCAACGCTGCCTGAATCTAGGTCTGCTTTGCCAACAATACTGTCTGAATCTGATCAGTCTGTTTTGACAAAAGTAAGTGTTTTTGAAACAGGAAGATTTCACCCAATAACTTCTGATATAGGATCATGCTCTACTTGTTCACCTCCTAAGCCCTTGTTAATTGTTAGGCCAAAAGAAGATGGCAAATATCCTGTCATCTTGTTTCACCATGGCACCGCCTGCCAGAACTCCTGGTACACTGATGTTCTCAAATTCATATCCTCTCATGGATATATAGTGATCGCACCGCAGGTACTCCTTTCTCCATGTCTTTTCTTAATAAATCTAAATATACGTACTAATTAATTATTCTTTTCATGAGTTACATGGATGGCTTTTAATAATTTTGCAGAATAATATGGATATATATTGTTCCATGTATTTTATTTTGATGTTGAAGAAATATTAATGTATACAACGATTGACTTGTTTCATTTAATCATATTTTCCAAAAAGAAAATGCAGTGGCAGATTCTTTAGTTAAAAAATAGTTTATATAGAAACAATGATTTCATAGTTTGGTTTTAACCTTTTTTCTTGATCACAACACTGTAATTTTGTCAGCCGCAAGCTAGCTATTTCTTTAATATTAATCCAATCTCGATTTTTATCCCAAAAAAAATGAAGATTGGCATAACATTGGATTTTTTATCCGTAGTTATACCGATGGATGCCACCTAGCGGACAAAGCGAGCTTGACATGGCAGCAGAAGTGGCAAATTGGTTACGCTCAGGTCTCCGGTGTGTACTACCAGAAAATATTGAAGGGGACCTGCACAACCTTGCTCTTGCAGGCCACAGTAGAGGTGGATACATTGCATTTGCTCTTGCACTTGGCCATGCCGATGTTTCCCCAGACATCAACTTTTCAGCAGTGATAGGAGTAGACCCCGTTGCAGGGACTTCCAAAAAAGATCAAGTGGAGCCCAAAATACTCAATTACGAACCGTGTTCATTTAGCTTATCGATTCCGGTTGCCGTAATTGGTTCTGGATTAGGTAATAAGCCAGTATTGCCCTTCCTGCCGCAGGCATGCGCTCCGGATGGGGTTAGCCACACCGAGTTTTTCAATGAGTGCAAACCTCCTTGTAGCCATTTTGTCCCTACAGACTATGGTCACATGGACTTTTTAGATGACGATATAGGTCTAATTGGGAGTGCAGCACGTTTGATTTGCAAGGGGAGCAAATGGGGGGTTAGCAGGGATCCCTTGAGAAGAACTGCAGGTGGCGTTTTTGTGGCCTTTTTAGAGGCTTTTTTCAAAGGTAACGACACGGACTACAACAAAATCCTGATAAACCCTAATTATTTTGCTCCCGCAACACTTGATCCAGTCCAGAGCAAAAGTGAAGGGACATCATGCTCAAGTTTATCGGCTATGTCCATGCCTGCCTTTGCGTTTGAGTAGCCTATTGATCAACTATGGTGGCTATTTATTTACTGGAATAATTCTCCTCCTTCCGCAAAGGTTCTATCAAAAGACAGAGTGGTGGAGGCCTCTTTGTTTGTTGTCCTCGGACCTACTACTGTAACTTCTGTTCTACTAAATCGAAATAAATACCTCTCATGAGGTTCTTTTGTTTTAAGCAACTTCTTAGAATTCATAATTTATCGATCCATCTCTTCCGTCAATCTCATGGCGTTTTTGTGGCCTTTTTAGAGGCTTTTTTCGAAGGTAACTACACGGACTACGTACAACAAAATCCTGCTGGATCCTAATTAGTTAGCTCCTGTTAGAGATTTTAGGAATGTTAGATAATAAGTTAAGCGTACCATGAAGAAAATTTGAAAATGTTTTTAAGTGGGATTTTATCCCACATTGGAAAGGAATGAAAATAAGAGACCGCTTATAAAGTGGGCCTCTAGCAAAACTTTCAAATATTTGATTGGTTGGAATTATATATATTTAAATAATCAAAGACTAGCACTTAGCACTTAGAAATAAAATAATCAAAGATTAGCATTAGAAATTTATTTTTATTTCTTAATATAATTAAATTCATAATTATTTAATTAATTATGTTTTTAATTTTTTGTTGCAACTAGTTAGTTATTAATAGCTTTCAAACCTTATGATCGTTAGAATCTAACGATTATGTCCGTTTGGGTCTAATAGTTATGTCTGTTTGGGTCCAACGGTTATGACTGTTAGAATCAACGGACATGTTTGTTATGATAGAGTATCGGTAGTCTATATATAGGGGACTACCGCACATGACGAAATTAATTACATTCTCTCGCAATCCTCCTTTTCTCTCAAAAATTCTTTTCCTTCTAAACACTCTACAACTTTAAGAGATATTCTCTTGAAAGAATTTCGAGAGTGCTTGCCTGCAGTTCCTTGTGTGCGAAAATTGTATCTTAGAGGTGAATTGCTAAAATCTCTACAAGCATTATAGTGGGGGCAATAATCACCTTAAGGACGAGTGTTGGGTATTTTCTACACGCAATTAAGCACTTCATATTTCGTTCTTCTTTAAGTTCATTTTCATTTTTTTCCAACGACTCTCCGCAACACTTCATCCGATCCGAACAAAAGTAAAGGGACATCATGCAAGTTTATCGGCAATGACAATGCTCGCCTTTGCGTTTGAGTAGCTTACTAGCCAGCTTGTCCACGTCGTCAATTGTCCACGCTACGTCAAGGGTCTTGCATAACAAAATTATTTTAAAATTTTTTAATTATAATTTTATTCAATTAATTTTTTTTATTTTTTTCATAATTTTTTCTTGCTTTAAAAAAATAAATTATTCTTCCTTATGAATCGATTTTAACTAAAATATTAATCGAGAATTAAAAAAAAATTTAAAATATATTTTTTATAATATTGTATTAAAAAAATTATAATTAATGGATAGGCTTTTATAAAAACTAACAAATGAAAAAAAAATTATTTAATGTTGATGAGAAGATTAATTTTTGAAATTATCCACACAATCCTCGCAGGTAGATAGAATTTCAAAATTTTATAATTTTTCATTAATTTTTTATTTAATAATTATTATTCTTTTGAGTTTTTCATAAATTTTCTACTTAAAAAAAACATGATTTATTCTTCTTTATTTAGGGATTCTTAAATAAAAACTTGCCTAAAAATATTAATGGATTAACTTGCATAAAAAATATAATTAAGAATTCAAAAGAAAATACTTTAAAGATATATATTTTTTATAAGAATATGTCAAAAAAATAAAGTTACAATTAATGTATAACCTGCATAAAAACTAACTAATGAAAAAATAAAATTTTATTTTATTTAATGTTGATGAGAAGATTATTTTTTAAAAAGTATATGCATTTGATCTATATATATTTAGTTACAAAATAATCAATAAAATTAGCATAAAAAATTGTATTCAAATAATTGGTTGGTTCCCTTAAAAAATTATTTTAATTATTTTATTTCAAATAAACTAGTTCTATAATGTTAAAAAAATATTCATAGTAAATAATTTGTATTATGTTAGAAGATGTATATTAAATTTTTAATAAAAATAATGATTCAATAGTTTTTTTTTTATGCGTCTTGACCATACTTAGTTAACTCGAAACAAATTATTTGAAATACACTTTTAACCGTTTAGAATATATATATATATATATATATATATATATATATATATATATATATATATATATATATATATATCGTTATTTAAAAATTGTAAGAATTCATGATATATATTATACCAATTTATTTTTTAAAAAAGAAAAAACAATCCTGTTTTAATATGTTATTCTAAAATTCAAACATAGTTAGAGTAAAATAAATTATATTTATCAGTAAATAAAATTATATATAAAAATATTAATTAGATGAGAATTTTCATAAAAAATGATAAATTCAAATAATGAAATTTAAATAATAAAAGTAATATAAGCTGAAGTATATGTTAATTTTAAAATATATATATAAATACACACACACACACGGTGTGTGAAAAAAAAAAGAAAGCTAAGGATTGAAAAACAATATTACAACATGAGGGACGAAAATAGAAAAAATGTTAAATTTTCATATTAATGTCAAAAAACACACAAAAAAAGCACACACAAAAATTAATTAAATTTCCATGAAGTGAATAGTAATTTTATACATATAAACCGTAAGTGAATAGGAATTCTAAGTGTATGAATAGTTTGGATTTCGCGCTACGTTGCGAATCGAACAAAATATATTTATTTCAGTTTGATAATATATACTATGTTGTCTGGTTAACTAAAATATATTAAATTAACTATAAAAGATAAAATTTCATCTAATTTTATTATTTTTAATCAACATTTGTATCTATATAATTTTTTTTTATGTTTTGAATAGATTTTGAAGTAAAAAAAAATATAATTTGTTCTTTCTTATGCATTTATTCCTAAATAAAACCCCATAATAAAAAAATTTTAATATAATTTTTTTTAAAAATCTTAATATATATATATATATATATATATATATATATATATATTTGATAGCATTGCATCAAAGAAATAAAGCAACAACTAATATAAAAACTTGTATCAAAATTAACAAATGAAGCTTTTTTTACCGATGAGAAGATTTTTTTTTTAAATATGTACATTTGATTTATATATATTTATTTACAAAATAATGAATAATATTAATATACAAAATTGTATTTGAATTATTAAGCAATTATTCTAAGATATTATTTTAATTATTTTATTTGAAAAAATCAATTTTAAAATATAAAAAAATAATAGCAAATAGTTGGTGTTGTGTGTGTAGATGTATAATTGATTTCTAATAAAATCAATAATTCTAATATTATTATTTTTACATATCCTAACCACACTCAAAGAGGGGTCGGTGAGGGTTTCAGTCAAAGAGTAGAGAGACATGATGTGGCTATAAGAACGGGGCGATCATGAATAGTCACTAGTATAAAAAAATAAGAAGAAGGTGGATATTTATATGTGAAAATTAGGATTTTTGGGCGAAGATCAATTTTGGTCTCTAATGCCTCCTAACTCATCAATTTAGTACAATTTTGATTGTTTAAACTTTAAAAACACCTTTAAATCGCAATTAATCTGGACTTATTTTTTTAGATTTCTTTCAATTGTACTTTTCTTTTCTTTTATTTAACAGTTTGGGGTTTTGAGTTTTTAAATTATATCCTTAATTGGATTTTTCTTAGTTCCCAAACTTATTATTTCTTTTTAATTAGACCCCAAAATTAATTTTAGTCATTTATTTTTAATTGCACACTTTCTTCTTCTTCTTTCTTTTGATTTTTTTCTTTTTTTTCTTTTTGTTAACAATAAAAAAATAAGAGGTAAAAAATTAGATAATAATAATAAATACAAATGAAATATCTCTAATATAGACAAAAGTCTAAAACTTATTTAATAATTGGTAGGAGAGCTTGCCCAGCATAAATGATAACGTGTTCTTTCTAGCTGGACGGATCCTGACAATTAACATTATAGTAAGAAGACATGTGCTATACCCCCAATTAATGATCTATTAATTGCGGGCTGCACCCGTTGTGCCGAAGAAGCAGGAAATGGTCCCTATAACGGACACGTTCGTATTGCTACATATTATTTGGAGATTCTGGAAAGATTTTGGAACATAACACTGTCATCTTGAAGTTCAAACTATACTACTACAGATGATGGAATTTTTTTAAAATATTCAGCCTATCTTTTTATCAAAATTTTCAATCATGAAATTCTCGCGTATTCGATGCACATTAGATAATATCCAGTGTGTATTTGCATACGATACACGTCCGACACAGATCCACGTTTTTAGAGTATAAGTATGCTTTTTAATAATTAAATTATTAAAGTATCGTTTCATTTAAAAATTGCATAAACTTATATTACATTCTGTTTAATATTTGAGAATTTGAAAATAATGAGACTCGAACTTAGAATTACATGATCAATCAAACTTTGATGTCATATTAAAGGATAATCTCGTCTAAAAATTAAGCTAATAAGAGAGGCTTCAAAATATAATTTATATTAGTCCCTAACATAAATAATTTTTTAATAATTAAATTATTAAATGATCATCTCAAGTAAAAGTTGCACATGCAAATATTATCTTATATTTAATATTTGAGAAACTAGAAAAAGGTGAAACTTGAACTCGGGATTAGGAGTGTTCATTCGGTTTTTCGGTTCGGTTTCGGTGTTTTTTTTCGGTTTTCGGTTAACCAAATTGGCTAAAACAAAAACCAAAACCGAACCGAATTGTTGTTCGGTTTTTCGGTTAAAAACCAAATTTTTTTCGGTTCGGTTTTCGATTAAAAACCGAATTTTTTTTTCCGCATTTTTCTTCTAAAAATCGAATTATTTTGCTTTTAAAAAATATCAAACTTACATAATCAAATATTGCATATTTCACATTTGATTTTATAAGAAAATTATGTATGGTTATTATTATTTTTCTATAATAAATATGTTTCTATTTATATTATAAACTAAATTAGTTGGGCTTCTCATTATTTTTTCAATCACGCTATAATTGGTTTTTTTATTAATTTTTCATATTCTTTTTTTTAATCTATTTATTTTGTGCATATTTTATTGTTGAATATATAATATGAAAAATTCAATTTTTAATTTATGTTTGTGCCAATTTTAATACAAGGAGACAATTTTTTTTTTTCATGAAGTTTTAGGAGTCACCTATAAATTTGTGTTTTCATAAAGAACTTCTTTATCATAGTCTTTTTTTTTTTTTTTTGTGAGTCAATATAATATAATCAATTATTTTTTATTACAATAAATAATTAATGAAAAATATTTCTATTTTAAGTAGAAAAAAAATCATTAAAGCTATTGTTCTTTTAGTTAAACCCATAGGTGCCTCTTTGATTTTTTTTTTTTTAAAAAAGAGTTTGAGTATGTGTTTAAAAAAAAAAAAACTAATTCGGTTTTCAGTGGAAACCTAATTTGAAAAAAAAAAAACCGAACCGAACCGAAATAATTTCGGTTTTTTTTTTAATTTTTTTAAAAACCGAACCGAAATTGTTAATTCGGTTCGGTTCGGTTTTAACCGAATAGTGAACACCCATACTCGGGATCACATGATCAACCAAACTCTAATACTATATTAAAAACTTAAGTTGAAAGCCGATAGATAATGTCTCAAGATATAATTTATATTAGTTTTTAACATAAATAATCTTTTTAATCGTCAAACTAATCTCTTTAGTTATCTGTTCTAGTTGTCTATAAATTAGTATGGTTTATAGGCAGTTAGTGGTCTCTGATACCAAACCAACAAAAACAGTAGAGATATTACAATAAACAGAGATAGAAAAGCAAAATCAAAGCTCAATCAAGGGTACTAGCCTTCAATAATGCCGTCCTTGCATTTCCGTACTCAGAAACACTTGCACCCAAATGTCCGAAAAATCCTGTTACCAAAGGACGAAAGTTTTCATGTCTGCTTTAGCCTATCAGAACACATACCAACAAAGACATGTCGGCTTTCCTCCACTTGCCGCAACAAAGAGAGACCCGGGTCCCAAAGAGGAGGATAAAGGAGGAATAAAGCAAGAAATCCAGCTGCCTGAGGGGCTACGCAGAGAGTCCATGCCGCAGCATGTTACTGTAATCATGGACGGAAATTCCAGGTGGGCTCGGCAACGAGGGTGGCTTACACCTTCAGGTCATGAAGCTGGTTTCAAATCATTGATAGAATTTATGAAGCTTTGCCTTCAATGGGACATTAAAGTTCTCACCGTTTTCGCATTTTCTATAGATAATTGGAATAGGCCTAAGGCGGAGGTTGGTATCATCATGAGTCTCATTGAGAAGCTGTTAAAGTCTGAGATTGATGATTTTATGATGGGAGGTACTCGAGTCTCCGTGATTGGGGACACTTCAAGGCTCCCAAAGTCTTTGCAGAGAACGATACGTGACACAGAGGAGATGACAAGAGGGAACTCAAGGTTACATTTTATCATGGCAGTCAGCTATAGTGGGACGTATGATGTTGCTCAAGCATGCAAAAGAATTACAGATAAGGTGAAGGACGGTGCTTTTCAAGTGGAGGACATCAATGTAAGTTTAGTTGCGCAGGAGTTGGAAACCAAATGCTGTGAGTTTCCTTGCCCTGATCTATTGATAAGGACGAGTGGTGAACTTAGAATTAGCAACTTCTTGCTCTGGCAGTCAGTCTACAGTGAACTCTTCTTTGCAAAACAACCCTGGCCTGATTTTGGAAAGGATGAATTTGTAGAGGCCTTGATTTCATATCAGCAAAGACAGAGGTGCTATGGGAGACGACCTTCATAAGCGCATGCTTCTTAAATTTCTTATATTCTTCTGTTACTTTGAACCCTATATTTTAATGCTTTGCCATCATTTTCCTGGCCTTTTAAACATGTATCTTACTAGAATATTTTGAAAATGATGTAAGGAAAGCTCAAAAATTACTATGGACGTGCTGCCTTAATCATTTTTTACAGCTACTCTTTACTTGCTATAATTCTCTCATTATCTTTTTCTCTAATCTGTCGGATGAAATTTAATTTTGCAAGGTTGATTGCTTGACTTATTTTTGTTGGAGTATGATTTAACTGGTTTTAGCACGGGCTATAAGGATATATATTTTTATAATCTTCTTGTCAGCATGGATGGTTTATTTTCATCTTTAACTATATCGGAGAGATTGGAAAGATTTTGAACTAAGGCAAAGCTAAAAGTATTCAAAGAAGAGGCAATTATCTTTACCAAATAATAATAATAATTGACCTTTGTCGCTTGAATGAGGTTAAAAATGCCAGTCTCTATCCATATATATATATATATATATATATATATTGAATTATTTGTTTGTTAAAAGTTAATTTGCATAATATCAATTATTTATTTTTTATTCTTTTGCATGTTCTAAAATCAATATTTTTTTAAATAAAATAATTTAAATAAAAATCATTTAAGTTGTATGGAATATATTGAAATCAATAGATTGAAATAAAAATTAATACAAAATGGGTTCTCATATATATATATAAAGAAAATAAAACCCAATAATTTTATTTTTAATTGAGTTTTTAAATATTTTTTTAAAATTTTTTAGTTAAATTATCTAAAACACTAATCTACTTTCATTTGAAAAATCCATCGTATAAATTAATATATATATAAAACCATATTTCTTAAAAAATAAAATTATATTAAAAAAATTAAAAAAAATAAATTAACCAGAATTTCAATAAGAAATGATAAATTGAAGAAATAAATTTTAAACAATAAGAGTAATATAATATGATATATATGTTCAACTTAAAATTTTAAAACATATCATATATATTTCATCATCATCAAATTTTAAATAAAAATAAAAAAATAACAATATATTTTCTATGATTTTTACACCCAATTACATGAAAAAAAAATGTAAAAATAAATTGTTAGAAGAGAAAAAAAAAAAAAAAAAAACAGGCCAGGGCAACCCTATTGGGCCTGCTTGGTCAGGCCTGTTTCTGCAGGCTTCACGTAAGGCTAGCTCCACTTGGGCTTGATTCTCCAGCCCTTGAGTCCTGACCAACTCTCTCAAAAGATCAAAACGTAAAAGGTTTTATAATTTGCATATAACTGCCCAAGCAAGAAGCCAAAAATTACACGAAAGAAGCAAAAAATTACACAAAACAGGACTTTAATGAATAGTGTTACAGTAAATGAATACTAAAATATTCAATTCTTTTTTTATTTTTTAATTTTGAATTACTCCAATCAATAATAATAATAATGATGATAATTGACCTTTGTGGCTTGAATGAGGCTGAAAATGCCAGTCTCGATCCATATATATATATATATATATATTTGAATTATTCGTTTGTTAAAAGTTAATTGTATCACATATATAATATCAATTATTTATTTTTTATTCTTTTGCATATTCTAAAATCAATATCTTTTAGATAAAATAATTAAAATAAAAAATCATTTAAGTTGTATGAAATATATTGAAATCAATAGATTGAAATAATACAAAATGGGTTCTCATATATATATATATAAAGAAAATAAAACCCAATAATTTTATTTTTTTAATTGATTTTTAAAAACAATTTTAAAAATTTTTAAGTTAAATTATCTAAAACACTAATCTACTTTCATTTGAAAAATCCATCGTGTATATATATAAACCATATTTTTTAACAAATAAAATTATATTAAAAAATTAAAAAAATAAATTAACCAGAATTTCAATAAGAAATGATAAATTGAAGAAATAAATTTTAAACAATAAGAGTAATATAATATGATATATATGTTCAACTTAAAATTTTAAAACATATCATATATATTTCATCATCATCAAATTTTAAATAAAAAAATAAAAATATATTTTCTATGATTTTTACACCCAATTACATGAAAAAAAAAAGTGCAAAAATAAATTGTTAGAAGAGAGAGGAAAAAAAAAAAAACAGGCCAGGGCAGCCCTATTGGGCCTGCTTGGTCAGGCCTGTTTCTGCAGGCTTCACGTAAGGCTAGCCCCACTTGGGCCTGATTCTCCAGCCCTTGAGTCCTGATTAGCTCTTTCAAAAAAATCAGGGATCAAAACGTAAAAGGTTTTATAATTTGTATACAACTGCCCAAGCAAGAAGCCAAAATTTACACGAAAGAAGCAAAAAATTACACAAAAATAGGACTATTCATAACAGTAAAATGTTTGGTTCTTTTTTTATTTTATTTGTATTTTTTAATTTTGAATTACTCCAATCAAACTGTTGTCAGGATTGGTTGATGAGAAGTACTTAAAGCAGTATTGTAGGAATTAGAAAACCAAACAGAACATTGACTTTCAATTCATCCTTGGAAACGAAAGATACAAGATGTGTTTTAATCAGCTTGTCCAGGTTGACTTTCAGATATAGTAAGTAGCTGAAACTACATGTTCAAGCAAGACTGGAGGTTGGAGTTAAAAGTACGGTTCTAGTTTTAAGGATATAAAACTTTAACTGCTATATCAGTGGTCTTTCATATCCATAAATCATCAAAGATTAAACGAGGGAAATATCTCTTTCTGCTGTCACTTTGCTTGTATAGTGTTCTGCCAATCATGCCATTCATTTATGGAAAATTCATAGTAATTTGTTTATGTTTCCAGTTCTTGTCTTTCCTATCTGTACATGTCCAGTCAGGCTCAATCGTTGAGACTCTGCCGGGCTTCGAAGGGTCTCTACCATTCAAACTTGAAACTGGGTAAGCTATTGATATAGCAGGCATTTAGCCTTCATTCTAGTTACCAGTTGATTTGTTGGTTGATGGTTGAGGTTTGTTTGTTCAGATATGTTACTGTCAATGAATCCGAACTATTCTATTTATTTGTTGAATCGCAAGGGAAGCCTCGAGAAGACCCTCTTTTAGTCTATTTGATTGGAGGCCCTGGCTGTTCTACATTGACCGGATTTTTCTTCCAAGCTGGTAAAGTTTTTTCCTCACTTTCCTCCCTATCTGTAAATGCTAGCTTGTTGATGCTTATCCTTTTCACTGTCTTTTCGAGAAAACCAAAAGAAATACTCAAGTCAATAAATTTCATAATACACGAGGAATAACTAGTGGCATGTATAGTAGTTACTCCTTCGACCCACTTTGAAGAGAGAGATAGACACACAAAGAGATAGAGAGAGAAATAAGAGAGATAAAATAAAAAAATTTGAGCAAACATAGTAAATCTTCTTATCACTTTTGATGAGTATGGATATAATTTTTCTCTTTTTTATATGTCTATCTCTCTTCTCAAAGTGAATCCAAGAAATAATTACTCATTGTATATTATAAAATTTTCCAACTCAAGTCATGTCTTGGTTAATGAACCTGTAATTATTCTTTATCCAATATGTTGTCTTGGTTAATGAACCTGTAATTATTCTTTATCCAATATGTTGTCTTTCTGCATAGGTCCACTAATTTTTAATACAACTGATTATCTTGGAGGCTTGCCAGAGTTATTGTATAATCCATATTCATGGACGAAGGTGCAAATTTTCTGCATTTGTTCGATTGTAATACAATTCTATTTGGTGAACTAACGCTAAGAATTTTTAATCTTATGATTGAATGGTGGCAATTAATGTTGCTGCAGACAGCTAGTATAATATTTGTGGATTATCCTGTTGGAACTGGTTACTCCTATGCAACGACCTCAGAAGCTTACCATCTGACAGATACAACATCAGCAAAACAAGTGCACCAATTTTTGAGAAAGGTGAGCGAATGAAACAGTGGATACAATGCAATTTCAGTCATAAATGTATCTGCAAAAACAGTGGATACAATGGCAATGAATGGTTTTTTCAAATTCTAATGTAGTGGTTGATTGATCATCCTGAATTTACCGAAGTTCCATTCTTCCTCGCAAGTGATTCGTATGCTGGTATAATCACGCCGATCGTCGCACAGGAAATATTAGATGGTGATTTCTATGCTAACTTTTTGTGTCTGAAAGAAATGAGTGCACTGTAATTGTTCCCTTGGACAATGTTGAGCTGAAGAGGGATAATTCCTGAGATTGCAGGTAACGAAGCTGGACTCCAATCACATATAAATCTAAAAGTATGTATACCTTTAACCTTTCTGAATTCTTGATGCATGATCTTTTATTTCTTTTCTTGTGGTAAGATCATAATAGCTATCGTTTAAAAGTTCTTGGAAATAATTGCAGGGATTCGCGAGTGGATCGCCACATACGGATAGGGTCCTTGAGCGCAACTCTAGAGTAACTCTTGCTTACCGTTTGGCACTGATATCACGGAGCCTTTACGAGGTGATTTCATTTCTTGTCACTACTAAAAAAAATGAGTTCTTTTGCAAATTGTTTTTGGAATTCGGATTTTTGATCAAAATCAGAAGTAAAAGGAAGTTTTGTTGTTCAATTAGCAGGTCCTTTCTGATTCGTAGGTTCTGTTTTGGCTTCATCAGTTCTGAATTCTGCTCTCTAATGATGGTTGTCTTTCTTTCTTGGCCATTAAGGGCTTGCTCTGTGTAAGAACTTCTTAAATTTCTGCTTGCTTTTGCAGTCAGCGGAAAACAGCTGCAAGGGGAATTATGTTGATGTAGATCCCTGTAATGCAGCATGTTTAGAGGATCTTGAAAAAATCGAACCGGTTTTTGAAATTTCAAATTACACACAAACACATTTATAGGACAAATACTTGCATGATTACATCTGAGCACTTCTTGTTCAATTCAGATTTCTTCTGTTAACACATTTAAGATTCTTGAATTTGCAGTGCATCGAACAAATTAACAAAGAGAACATTTTAGATCCTAAATGTACAATTTTATCCCAAAATTCAAGCAATGAGGAACAAATTAGAAGATTTCTCAAAGCAAGTTCCCTGCATTTACCTCTTCTACCACAAAAAGTTCAAGACTACTGGTGTCAGGTCTCGTCCTTTCAGTGCTTGCTTTTGCTTTATTCATGCATTTCATATTCTTCACCAAGTTATTTATTGAGAATGTTTTCTTTAATATTCTGCAGAACTCTGAGTACGTACTTGTTGATAAATGGGCCAATGATAAAAGAGTTCAAGATGCTCTACATGTTAGAAGGGTATTGATCCTGTACATCTTAGGGCAACATCATACATATATGCATATATAGATTCTTCAAAACCTGAAGCTTATAGAAATATCTTCTGCTTACGTGCAGGGAACAGTCAGAACATGGTACAGATGCAATCTTTTCTTACAAGATGTCTTGTACACATATAATATTCTCAGCGCTGTTGATTATTATCAAAATCTGACCAGAACAGGCTTAAAAATTCTGATTTACAGGTACTTCAATCTAGCATGTGATAATATTACTTCTATCAGAATATTCTGAAGCTCAAGTTCAGAAGGGTTTGGTCATCCATTCATATATTTTCTCATGTTGCAGTGGCGATCATGACATGGCTGTTCCATATATATCTACCGAAAGATGGATCAATTCTCTTAATATAACAGTAGACAGCGATTGGCGACCATGGTTTGTCGATGGCCAAGTTGCAGGGTACATTCTCCTCCTTCGTTTATTTCTTCTGTTTCAAAATGAAAACCGGTTTGCTAACAATATATTGATACAAGCCATAATTTAGCACCAAGCATCTCATGCAGGTATACAGTAAATTACGCAGATTATGGATTTCGTTTGACATTCGCGACTCTGAAGGTAATAAAACCTTCTGCAATCTAATCATTCTGGTGCCATTACTGAAAAGTAGCAAAGTGAAAGTAAATGGAAGCTAATGACATGCTTGATTTTTGCACATACAGGGAGCTGGTCATTCTCCTACTCAGTACGCGACAGGATGGTGTTATAACATGTTTGAAAGGTGGATCCATTATTATCCATTATAACTAGCCAAGAAGGTGGCTGACGGTGATTTTGACTTGAACTGTATGCCTTCAGAGTTGCTGTTACTTGCCACTAAACTTGTAGTTGCATTAACTTGTAGTTAGAGCTGTAAATGGTTGGTATCTTAATCCGAATATGATGTAATAAAATGGATCTAGTAAACAATATTTTTTTACTTAGTCCAATTATGATTCGAAGCTATTAACTCGTTTATTAAATAGATCAAATCTAGAAATAATTTGATCTGAATAGTAATAATTCGATCCAAAATTAAAAATAATATTTTTATAATAAATATAATATATCTAAAATATTAAAATTTTAAATTTGAAAAAATATATATAAATATGGAATTAGATTGAAATTTAGATTTTATTTATTATAAAGTTCAAATAATGGATATCCTCATACAGTAATGACTGTATTTTCAAAAAATCACATATAAATTTTTTCAAAAAATCACATATAAATTTTTTTTATCATTTTTTTAATTTAATTTCGTAAAAAAAATTATAAATTGACTTATATATCTTTTAAATAGTTGGTGTTATTATTATTTTCAGCACCCTATTTTTGCTATTAAATGGAAAAAAATAAATATTTTTTTTAGTTTCATCATACTTCATACTTAGTTTAAAACAATTTTTTTAGCCATATCAATTTAATTTTAATATTCTAAAATATAATTATGACTAATTGTTCATTAATAATAAAATTTCAATCTTGCTCGAGACAAACTAAAACAGGGGGTTTCGATTTTGTGCATGTGCTTGAATTATATTTTACTCGGTTACCCCATGTTTCCAATTTACTAAAAAGTACGCCACGGAGAAGCAATATTTATATATAGAGAGAGAGAGATTTAACAGTCAACCAACGAGGGGTGGCGGCGCAGTTGGCTAGCGCGTAGGTCTCATAGCTTCTGAGTGATCCTGAGGTCGAGAGTTCGAGCCTCTCTCACCCCATTTTTTAATTTTTCCAACTCCCATTCGGGACATTTAATTTTCTTTTATATCTACAAGGTTTCCTAGCTAATTTCAACAACTAAGAATGCCCCTTTTATTTTTCATTTTTTTTAATTAAATCCCATTGATAATGGAATATGATTGGCTTAAAACAATTCACTTTGATCATGATTTGATCAATAACTCCTTCCCTTTGGCATGAGCTTCAACCGACTTGGTAAGAAATTTAGCTTCCAAGATGCTTCCTTGGCCTTTAACGTGGCTAAATGGATCATGCCCCATTATACTCTCCTAATTAAAGTCTTAATCCGAAGTACATTAGGATTAACAGTGCCTGTGTATCTTATATATAAAGACACCACCAAATCTCTTTCTTGCATTATAAGCTCTTTCTTTCTCTCTATCGTGCAATAAGATTTCCTTTTCTTTCCCTTGCCTAGCAAATCTCAAGCTCTTTTTATATTACTACCTCCTTAAGATGAAAAAGATTCAAGAAAGCCTTCGATCTCTATCAGTAAAGCTAGGGTTGAAGAAGATGAAGAAGGAGGCCGGTTACGAGAAGCTAGTAGCCAATCCAAGAAGGCACTTTCTAGTGTATGTTAGTGATGAAGAACCTGATGGAAAGCTAAAACGTTACGATGTTCCAATTGCATGCACATCTTCGATAATTTTTCAAGCTTTGCTGCGTCAGTTCGAGGATATCCTGATGGTAGACAAAGTGCCAATCACATTATCTTGCTCAAAACAGATGTTTAAGTCGGCCCTCAAACTTTCTGTTGATGGGTTATGGATATCAGAGGTTCGTGATTCATGAAGAAGTTGAGAGTTTCCACCACTAGCGTTGTTGGTCGTAGCTTTTTTTTTCTCCATAAATATTTAGGGTTTCTTTTTCTTGCTAGGGTTACTTGGTTTGTCAGCTATTCATGGCTAATACAATTATTAGCATAACTTGGATGTAAATTTTTTCAATTTGTTAATCTATAACGTATTTTATTTTCAATGATTCGTGAGAAAATACGATTAAAGTTTACTTTAAGAGATCGTTTCTATTGAATTTGAATGTTTAATTCTTTTTTTTTCCTTGATGACGAGATTATGTAAAATATTTCATCAAAATTGTTTTTTTTTTCTAGTGGTATTTTCCAAAACAAAATTATTTGGAATGTTTAAACATCAAACAAAAGTGGTTTTGAATCATGATCGTCCGATTACGAACCAAGAAACTCATTGTGCCTAAATAGTGGTTCTCTGATTTTCCTTTGGACAAAACAAGGCCACCCTAGAAAGCACCTCAACGGCAAGTAATTTTTTAGACTATAAGTTTACACAAACAAAAAATTTCTGCTCTTCCCTCTTTCTAACAACTTCCATTAGCTCTTGTCTATAATCTCAATGCTAAGAACTCTGGCAGTACAGTCCCAGGAAACTGAAACAAGAAATTTTCGACAAGACACAGATGATGACCATATATATGGGCATGGAGTGCCCCTTGAAGGTTCCTTTACATTCACTAGAGCAGCTGGCTCGTATATAAATCTTCCCATCTTTACACCCTGTAGCCATATGCTTTCCTTCGGGCCATGCTAAGCAAGTCACTTTTCTCTAAAGACAAGGAAAAAGCTCCTTTGTTAGACTAGTGTTAGAAAAACAACCAACTCACTCTATCTGCAAATTTGCAATACTTGGACAAGAAGCAAACAAATTGGTACCAAACAGGTATAAGATAATAGGTTAACTGAAGAAGTCTAGTGCTGATAAAAGAGAATTGTAAACAAATAATCTGATAAATAAAAAGGCCTTTTTTATTATAAACCCTTTTTGCCAAAAAAAAAAAAAATCCTGTGGCGAACAACGGACAATGATGGTCAAAGGCTACTTCGATGTTTTTGGACTCAATTCATTGACATGCACTAACAAGAATCCAAGTATTTAAGAGCAATAATCTAAGGGCGTAAAGAAAAAGTGGCCACCTATTCAAGCATGAAGATAGAGTCCATCCAGGCTATGTGAGAGATAGGTTGGCCGAGTAAAAAAAAAAGATGCAATCAAAAGACATGACTAAACGGACAAAAATCAATAAAAGTAGGTAGCTTAAAATCTCGAGCCTATCGGATAGCGACGACATGGAAAAAAGGAGAATTGGGGAAAGTTTATGTTTTGGCGTTGGAAACTTATGTTTCTTCAATGACCGTAAGGAATGTCACTTTTGCTCTCGTGCATTGCCAAAAGAAGGTTACTCGTTCAACCTTGAGATTTTTGGACTCGGTTCATTGACATGCACCGACAAGAATCCAAGTATTTAGGAGCAACGATCTTGGGGCGTAAAAGAAAAATGGCCACATGTTCAAGTATGAAGATAGAGTCCATCCGAGGCTATGTGAGAGATAGGTTGGCCGAGTAAAAAAAAAAAAAAGATATAATCGGAGGACATCCGATTAAACATACAAAAATCAACAAGAGTAGCTAGCCTAAAATCTAGAGCCTACTCGGATGGTGACGACATGGAAAAGAGGAGAATAGGGGAAAGTTTATGTTTTGGAATTGCAAACTTATTTTTCTCCGAAGACAATAAGGAATGTCACTTTTGCTCTTGTACATTGTCAAAAGAAGGTCACCTGTTCGACCTCGAGGATGGTTATTCGTATTAACTAATTGGTAAGGGAAGGTCACTTGTTTGACCGCATGGATAATTATCCGTATTGACCAATTCCCAAAGGAAGGTCATCTGTTTGACCTCGAGGATGGTTACCCTTATTAATCGAGTTACCAAGGGAAGGTTGCATGTTTAACCTTAGGGATGGTTATCCATATTAACTAATTACCAAAAGAAGGTCTCTTGTTTAACCTCGGGGATGGTCACCCGTATGAACCAATTGTCAAGGAAATATTACCTGTTTGAACTCATGTATGGTTATTTGTATTAACTAATTGCTAAGAGAAGGTTGCTTGTTTGACCTCGGGTATGGTTATCTCGTATTAACCATTTACCAAGGGAAGGTCACCTGTTTGACGTCGTGGATGGTTATTCATATTAACCAATTAACAAGGGGGTTCACTTATTTAAACTTGAGAATAATTATCCGTATTAACTAATTACCAAGAGAAGGTCACCTATTTGACTCCGAAGATGGTTACCCGCATTAATCAATTACCAAGGGTCACCTGTTTGACCTCGAGAATGGTTACTCGTATTAACCAATTGCCAAGAAAGGGTCACCTTTTTTACCTTGATGATGATTACTCGTATTAATCAATTACCGAGAAAGGTCATTTGTTTGACTCGGGGATGGTTATCTATGTTAACCTATGTTTTGAAGAGGTTACCCACAATTGACCAATGATTGAGGGATAATAATTCATCATTCGACCTTCGTCGATGGACTTGTTTTGTTGGTTATTGTTTGCATTTTATGATTTTCTTTACAAGTTTACTATGCAAAACTAAAGAAAAAGTCCCTTTTTCAATGGCTCGCATTATAAGTATTATAAAGAGGAGTAACTATGCTTACTTATATTAACCAATTGCCAAGAGAAGGTCACCTTTTTTACCTCAAGAATGGTTACCCATGTTAACTAATTACCGAGGAAAGATCACCCAATTCACCTCGGAGATGGTTATCTCGCTTTAACTTATGTTTTGAAGAGATTACTCATAACCGACCAATGATTTAGGGATAATCATTCATTATTCGACCTTGCCGATGGACTTGTTTTGTTTGGTTATTTTTCCTATTTTGTGATTTTTTTTACAAGCTTACTATGCAAAACCAAATAAAAAGTCTCTTTTAATAGCTTTGTATCGTAAGCACCGTAAAAAGAGGACAACTGGTAGCACTTAAAATTTATCTATTTACTTTTTCTTTAGGTTTCAAAAAAAAAAAAAAAGAAAGAAAGAAAAATACAAAAATGAGAAAATAATTAGAGGGTGTAAGCTGAAAGAAGTTGAAGGAAAATGATCAAAATAAAATGGGCCACAAGATCGGGACTAAGCGATTTTAGCCTACAAACCCTAAAAAAATCGGTATAAAAACCCTTTTTTTCCCCAAGCCCTAACAACCACTCTCTCTCAAGAAATTTTTTTCAAGCTAGTTTTCCTCTTTAAAAATCTAATCAACCGATTCTCTCTCTCTAAAAATTCGACCAACCAATCGTTCGATGTTGCCCCTTGTCATTCAATGCCATGCACGACCTTTGCTAACCATCGTCTACTCGCTATTCTTTATGCTAGAAATGCATTTTTCCTATCGCTAAAGCAACAATCGATAGTTTCTCCCACAACCTAATCATGCTAGTTTAGTTTCGATCTCCTCCACCACGATCCGATCCCTTCGCAATCTGGTCATCAATAGCGCGCGAGCCACTTGTCTAATCTACTCCGATATCCTCCCATATAGCTACATATAGCTATCCGTCACATGAGCCACCGAGCCTTTGATTCATGAAAAGTAGCTACCTCGATCTAAGAGCCTCCAATCCGATCGCCGATTTACGAACAATAGTTGTCGTCGTCCACGAGCCACCGGATCCGGTCGACCGGTTACAAACCAAGGTAGCACCACCGCCAACGACCACCATTAGTCGTCTAGTCATGATCCAATCACCAACGACCACCTCGCCTTAGACCGGATCCGGATATGACAATGGCTAGCAATCATTTATCCTCTATTAATTGAATAATCGGTCTCAATCGAGGTTGAAAAGGTAAAAAATAATCCCATTTTGACCGTCAAAAAATTCCTTCAACCTTTTTGCATTTTTTTAGCAAGTAAATTGTTCTTAATCCTTAAATTTTATTTGTATGATTGTAAATTAATTAAACCGATTGTGTGGTGATTTAAGTGATTGGTTGATCACCGGATCCGGATATGACAATAGGTAGTCGTGAGCCGATCACCAATAGCCACCTTGCCTTACACTTGGATGCGGATATGACAATGGGCGACTATCCCTCTTCCTCTATTGATTGAATAATCGGTCTCCATCGAGGTTAAAAAAGTCGAAAATAATCCCATTTTGATCGTCAAAAAATTCCTTCGACCTTTTTGCATTTTTTTTAGCAAGTAAATTGTTCTTAATCCTTAAATTTTATTTGTATGATTGCAAATTAATTAAACTAATTGTTTGGTGATTTAACCGATTGGTTGATTGCGTGTTTAAGATATAACGTAGTATACCGAGCTTACGAAAGGATCGGAGACCTCGAGTAAAATTGAGGCAAAATAAAGAGATTAAGTATTCCGTGATTATTTTTGTTGTTACATGTTTGTCATTGGATTGAATATGTGTGATTTTATATATATATATATATATATATATATATATATATATATATATATATATATTTTTGTGACGTTGATCAAGGATATGTTTGTCGCTTGATAATTATTAACCGGATGTACTAATTGCTTGATTTTTTTTAAGTCATGATATTTGTAATCACGTCGGTCCGAATCTTATTTTTAGACCATTTTTGCCGATGGTAATAATTAAATTGATCTTGTTGCCAATTTGCCTAAAAATGTGATGTTTGAGTTGTGTTAGTCCGAACCTCTATTCGAACCATTTTTGTTGATTTGTCTAAAACGACTATCTTGAAAAATATCATGGTTTGTAAGTCATGTCAATCCAAACCTTGGTTCAGATCTGTTCATGCCAATATTGTTTAACATGACAATTTCATTTGCCAACTTTATTTGTCATATGTTTGAAAATCATGACATTTGATGTAGCTGCTTCAATCTAAACCTCGTTTTTGGATCGTTTTTTGCCAATTTCCCTAAAAAGAAATTGAAATTGTGAAATTGTGTCGGTCTCAACCCCATTTTCAAACTATCTCTGTCTTTTTTTTTATATAATTTATTTTTAATATATATTGTTATATGCTTTTGCCATTTTGTTGTGTAGTTTTAATGTAGTTGTCATAGATTCAGATTTATTATGCCTCTGAGTGAGGATAAGACTTTTAACGTCAAATCTTGAATCACTTGCCTGGTTGACAAAAATTAGGAATATGCATAGGTTTTCTTCATATAAAAAAATCAAGAATAAGTTAGAATTGGTTTGCAATGCAGCTTGTCTTAAATAAAATGAGATAGAGTGATTTTTAATTTTTTCTACACTAACAAACTCTTTATCTAGAATTTTGAACAGATCAATCATATAGAATCCTAATAACCATAATATTAGCCAGCGATATCATTATTTTTGCTCATTCCCTATTTACTAAAATCGTTGGATTTGTCTGGATGTCCCCATGCCACAAATTAAAACTTAATTGATAAAATTTATAAATTTTGGATACAAATTAAAATGAATACATAGATTTGGAACTAAATTAAGATTTTTTCCAAACGAAATAGTACTGACTAGTTACTATTTTTACTTTGTTGCTAATTAGACACCTCTATCTTCTGATTTTTTTCACTCATGAAATCCTCTATTTCCAGAAAACAAAATCCAAATCTTACCAATTATAACCTCAAAAAGCAACAAACTTTCCCTTCCCAAACCGAGAACACACCCGTTTCAGACAGAAACAAGAGCAAAACTGACTCTTCTATACTTCACTGTCAGCTCCTCCTCCACCATCACCTAAATGGCAACAACAGCCACTCTCACCACCACCACGCAACCTCTCCCCCCAAACTTCCTCCCTTACATAGATATGACAACCCTTTCCCAATCAGAACTCCATACACTCTCCCTTATCTTCTCCACCCCACCTTCCACCACTAACAACACCATAACCCCTTCCATTGACCGCACAAACTTCAATGAAAGCGCCGGCTCTCGTCGCCAAACCTTCGCCCGCCCTTCCCACCACCACCACCGTCACCGCCTCGCCGCCACTGCCTTCTCCAAAACCCACACCAGCCCACTTAACAATCCCATCCCTAATGACCCTGACCGCCTCGAAAACCCCGCCATAGTTAAATTCCTCAAGAACCTCTTATCTTCACACCCTGAATTTCAAGAACCTGATTTCTCAGTCGAATTTGATACTTTCAATCATTTTAACCATCCCATCACTATCATTTCTAACTCATTAGCACCCCAGCAAGTTTTAGATTTTAATATGCCGCCGGGGGAACGGAAGAGAAAAAGAGGGAGGAAACCGAAAGTGAAAGCTTTGAGTATTGTGCAGAGGGAAATGGGGTTAGAGATTGCAGACAGAAACGGGGTGGCTATAGATTTAATGGGCTTAGCAAGTTTAAATGATCCTTATAAAGATGAGTTGAAGAGAAGGACTGAAGGGATGGAGAAGGAAGAAGAGTTGTTGGGGTTTTTTAGAGAGTTGGGTGGACAATGGTGTAGTAGGCGAAAGAAGAGGAAGATTGTTGATGCGAGTGAGTTTGGAGATTTTTTGCCTGTTGGCTGGAAGCTTATTCTTGGACTTAAAAGGAAAGAGGGGCGTGCCTGGGTTTATTGCCGCAGATATCTAAGGTGGGCTGTTTTAATTTTGTGTTTTTTGTTTTCTGGTATTTCATGGGGTTTGTGCATTGTTTTTGTTTGTGGGAAATGAAGGGAAAGAGAGAAAATGACTATGAGACTGAAATTAGATTCTGCTTTGTTGTTTTGTTTGGTTTTGTCTAGAGGAAATGATATCTGTATCTTGGGGTGGGAGATGGTGAAAAGTTTGAGATTTTGAGGGTTTTTGTTTTGTTTCCATGTGTTGCATGTGTAATCTTTAAGAATTTGATGAAAGTTTGAACTTGAAATGATTATACACAATAATGAATGATAATATTGACTTGCTCGCTTATGCATTGCTCTAACTCCAGTTCTTGGTTGTACATTTCTCTGAACGGGCATTGCATGCTTTGTTGTTTCATATTTCCAGCCCCGCTGGACAACAATTTCTATCCTGCAAAGAAGTATCTGCATATTTGCAATCTTTCTTTGGACCTTATGATGCACAGCAAGCAAAGGATCATGCTGCTGACAGTATTCAGCAGGACCATGGAGTGGTTTCTGTAAGTGTAAGTTATAAATAGTTGCATAATAATTTGCTCTATTTTGACTTGTTCAATAAGCTTGACGGTATATCCAACAGCATGCAGGTGCAATTGAAAGGGTGGAAGATCAGAAACAGTCCAATGAACATCAGAAGCAAGTTGCCTTATTGGGAATTGACAATTTGGCAGAGGTTCAGATTCATGATCTTTTTGAATGCCATAAATGCAGAATGACATTTGATGAGAAGGACACATATTTGGAACACCTTTTGTCATTTCACCAAAGAACTACACGGAGGTATAGACTTGGGTCTTCTGTTGGGGATGGTGTAATAGTTAAAGATGGAAAATATGAATGTCAGTTCTGCCATAAGGTATTTCATGAAAGGCGTAGGTACAATGGTCATGTAGGAATCCACGTGAGGAATTATGTGAGGGGGATTGAAGATTCACCTGGTGTGAAGAACTATATGAGGGGAATTGAAGATTCGCATGCTATCGAGTTGGCTCTACAAAAGAGTGACTCTCCAATCCATGATGACTTGCCTGCAAGAATCTCCAAAATGGATGCACTGATTGAAATAGCTCAGAACTCAATTCGAGAAACATCATCTTCTGGACCAAATGATGAACAGAATGTGGTTTCTGATTCAAAACTTCTTGCTTCAGTTTCTGATCATGAACTGAATTCTGATTCTCTGCCCAGTGGACCACAAATAGAAGATAGCATGGCTGACAAATCTTGGGAACTCAATTTACACCAACTAAAAGTAGATTTTATGGTGATTGATGAAAAGATGGAGAAGGTTGAAGATGCTAGTAATGTTCAAAATGTTAAGACAGTTTCTTCATCTGCTGATTCTCAACAGGGTAATACACTTGAAAGTCTTGGTAGAAATGATGATCTGGCACCTGGCACCGATGCAATTGACAGGTCTGGCATTAAATGGGAAAGTGGTTCTGAAAGTCATTCAGTTGCTCCAGTGAGTACTCAGAAAATGTTTGGTGCTGAGAGTAATATGATTTTTGTTGGTTCTGACAGACCACACCATGATAAGCCAGATGAAGAGGATAAAAGCGTGAATGTTGAGATGGAAATTGGTTTTGGTAGCAATAACAGTTCTGCAGATGGTGATATTATTCAAGATGCTGGAGGACATTCTTTCCAAGAAAATGTGCTTAAGTGTGGAGTTCCTGAGCCACAGTTGCAATTGCACCATGACTATTCAACACCCGAGGCAATCTTGGACCAGGTATCATGCTTTCTTCTTGTAGATTATTCTGAGGAGCAAAGGCTAGCGTGCCTGCACATATATGAAACTTGTCACAAATATAGTCGTGAGCACAGTTATATCACTCATGCCATTATTTGTGTTCTTATCTGTAAAGAGTTGTTCTCCCATAGCCGTTAAGTGATTTAGATTGTAGTCACATTGGGAAAACAAAAGGCCTATCTTTGATGAGATACTTTTTAAATACATATAAAGAGTTTGCAATCCTCTCTCTTGGAAAAGTGGCATTTGCAACAATCTGCAGTGAAGAACCAGGAACAAAGCCACAGCTCTATTTGTTTCACAAAATGTCTGCTATTTGGTTATGCATAATGTATAGGTAATGCATTTGGACATGATCTTTCAGAATTAGTTTCCTTAATTAGCGTGCTTTACTCAATTGTGAAGTGGATTGTGTTGTCTTTAGGAGTAACATAAATTGATGGTAGGCTTAGCATTTATTTATTTATTTTTGACAAAGGAGAAGGGACAGAGCACACTGGAAAGATGAGTACTTATTGTGGCTGAGGGACTGCTGTTTATTGAGATAGTGTATCATGTCTTCTTTTATATTGTAAGATATGGTTAATTTAAAGATTGTGGAGGATCATATCTGAAATCTGAATTGATGAAAACATAAAGAATTTGCATTTTACATTTTAATGCTGTAAATTAAATGTGTGAACTTGTAATTAATACCGGCTATGTCTTGAGAACACTAATTTGCATTCTTGAGGCGCGTTTGGTAGGGTGATTGTGCAGGTTGTGTAACTTGGATTAGTACCACGAGTGTAGATCACATTTATTGTGGTTTTAATAGGATCAAACTTATTGATGGGGTGAAATTTAATCGTTTATTAGTCCCTAATTTTCGGATCCTGTGTGAGGGATCGAATGGGTGTATCCTGTTCTCTTTTCACCTACCCAGGTTATCATGATAGAACTGTTGGTTGTTCATATTTTCCTAGGTACATTAGTTTGATGTTTTCTATGCTTTTTGTTCACAGGGAGAAAATGAATTTGGTACAGCTGACCAAATACATGCCAAAGTTACAGGATTTGATGAGCTGAAGCTGGACGATATAGAGCACCTAAAATTTAGTTTGGGGACTGGGCAAGAGCCTATTTCACTACATGAGGTGCCATTAAGTGTGGAAAATAATGCTGAGATGGAAGCAGCATATGGCTCTTCACTTCAGTTTGAATCAGAAGTTGTTGGAGACACAGCTGGCAGACAAGAACTAACAACGGTGTGTGTATGGTGTGGAGTTGAGTTCAGCCATGAGGCTTTTGATACTGAAATGCAGTCAGATTCAGTTGGCTACATGTGTCCGGACTGCAAGGCTAAAATCTCAGGGCAGCTCAATATTTGAGATCTTGGTTTAAGATGCATGGTCTTGCTCACGAATCCTAACCTGTTTAGGGTAATGTGAACTCCTCGAAAACAATATGTTGCTAGTTATCGTTTAAGTTGCATGATCATTCTCTTGAATTCTAGTCGGTTTATGGTAAATTGAATTTCTCTGTAACAATCTTTTGCTGATTTATGATTGGTTTTAATATAATGCCACTGGATTGAACTGGTCTTAAATGTAGGTGAAAATATTTGAGATCTTGGTTTATAATGCTTGACCTTGTGGCATATTCCATTAGAAGCATTGCTAGTATATAAACTCAACCCTTCTGAAACAAGACCAACTCTATAGTTGAAATCTTTGGTATTTCTATACTTCGAAATCAGCTTCTTTTTGTATTTCAGCTTTTTATATCTATTCTTTGGCCTCAAAAGTTGGCTTTTATTAGATACCTGATATTTCCAACTTTTATATGGCTTGGCAGCAGATGCTGGCTGGAGAATATCTGTTGTGGCATTGAGGAAAACGATTGCAGCAAGGAATAGGCATGATCATCGTCACGGTATGTATGTATGTATGTGTTTATGTGTGTATGTATGTACTTGCTAGTTGTTGTAAGTCCATGTAGTCGCTGCATGTTATCTCTTATCCTCGAGAGACTGTAAATGATGGGCATTTGAATATAAAATCAGTGATGTTTCCCCATCCCAATTGCATCTGTATTCTATTTTTAGTTTGTTATTAAAAGTCTCTAGCAAATCCTTACATAATAACGTGGAGTTTTTTTTTTTTTTTTTTTAATGGCAAATTACCGTAACCACTCTATATTTTGATAGCAGTAACACTTTACACTCTTTATTTTTTCAAATATTACACTTTACACCTCAAAGTTTGTCAATAAATAATGAAAGGACTAATATACTCATGGGTAAGTTATGATAACCACCCTATGTTTTGATGGCAAGAACACCTAATACTTTTATTTTTTGAATATTATACTTCACACCCTCAAGTTAAATACCATGATACGCTCATGGTTCTCAAAATTTGTGCATATGTTGTTTTCAAAATTAATCTTTTTTAAGTTCTATTAGGTGTACTCATTCGATTATGAAAATATTTTGAAAATCATATTAAGACTAAATCATACTAAGACTAAGAGATAAATTTATATGATTTTTTAGGGCCTTCGATAAAATTTAGGATCATTCCAAAATATTTTCTATTTTTTTTAGTTAATTTATGATGTTTAAGAACAATTTACAAATGCCTCTTAAACTCATATATATATATATATATATTTAAAAGTAGATAAATTTTTCTTTTATTAGAATATGTGAAAATTTTCAACTCAAAGTACTAAAAATTATTTTTTTAAAATGGATTTTCGATCAATGATAATGGTCAAATTAAATGGAGAGACAATATTTGTTCGAAATATGATAGTTCAATGACAAAATTGATTAAATTGAATCTAAAAGCCTCGATGTACCACAATCCCCATTGTTCAAACGAAAAAAAGAAAGCTATTAAGCCATTCTAAATCAACTCCAACCCAACTCTTAAAAGGCCAAACGAGCCCAAAAATTTCAGCAAATAGTTTAATGGGTTGGAATGGTCGAGCCCAAATAACAAATCTGGCCCATATCCAAATTGGACCTAGGCATTTTGTATTCGGTTGTACTGAGCACATGAAAAAAAAAGGGGGGAAAATGCAGAGTGATTATCAATATTTTATTTTATTTTATTTATTTATTCAACATTAAAGAATATTTTTAAATCAATTTTTATATTAATCAAAATTAAATTTTCTATTCAAATAATTTTAAAAACATATATTTCACATTGGTCTAATGTATTAAAAAAATATATATTCTTCTTAGTATTAGTTTTAAGATTGGAACCTACCAAGCTAAAAATATTGCAAATTTCTTTAACCAATTGACCAATCCCTTAGAACTGATTATCAACCACTTACACTAAAGTTTTTTATTGCTATTTAAAATTTGAAAGATTTTCCTGTTTAAAACAATACGTCATCTTACGAAATTGAAAAACATACTCAAACAAATCTTTTCATTTTATAAAAGATATATATTTTTTTTTGTTTCATCAAGTAGACCACCATGTTTCTTAAGGAAAATAACAGGAAAAATACTATAGAAACAAATCATATTAAAATTCTATATAAATCACACTAAAATTCCATAAAAACAAATGTAATAAATTATAAGTGGTGGATTGTGATTCTCATAATTATTAAATGATTGGCTGGAAATGATCCTTTCGATGTAAAGTTTATTGATTTGTCATAAATGTCATAATTATGTTTATATATATAACATTATTGAAATAAAAAAATATTTCCTTTGAATTTAAAATAAACACTAATCCTTAATTTCAATCTTGAGTTAAAGCAAGCTATTCCTTTCAAAGTTGACCAAGTACCACGAATAATATGATTTGGAAAAGAAAGAAACTAATTACAATTGAAAACCCTAAAGAGAAGGATGCTACGTGCAAAGTTTCAAGACATGTCTTTTGAAAAACATTATCTTCTTAATTACCTATATAAAACCTAAGGTCAGATCTTCTTTGAACCAAAAACCAACTATATATTCCCTTTGTAAGAATATAGCTAATAATCAAGATTAAAAAAAGAAGAAGGATATATAGTACATAATTTAAAGTGCATACGTATCATGATTGTGAATAAAGCATAAGTTCAGAAGCTAGCCCTAATTAATAATGCCCTTCTTTTTTAGGGACACACCAATGTGCTCTTTATTCAACCGTTGCTTTCCAATTATTATCATTTTATTATTATTTTTGCGGTTCAAATTCATTTGTTGATGATTTTCTTTTCATTGTGTGTTATTTCTTCTTCTTGCAAAATGGTTCATACGACAGCTAGGTTAGGAATATAAAATTTTAGTCCAATATTTTGAGCCAACCCATCGAATAAAGTGATGGGGAACTTGGCATCTGGTTCCCCTTCCCCTACTTTTTCAAGGTCATTGCAGTCTTGCAGATCATACCAAAAGGGAAAATAATTTTAGCTAAGAGATTTTTTTGGATTATTTATGATATCCTAAGTTTAAAAATTCAAACTAATCATTTATTATTCTGTCAAACGCATAAAGCAAATATAACTACCTCGAGATTTTAGATAATATGATTTGATGATGAAAATGTAACTATCAAGCATATTGAAGTTAAGGGTTACAATATTACAACAATCTATCTATTTTGAAAATCGCAAAATGAATACTTGCTATGCCTTTTGTTTTTTAATGGTTAAGTGGTACGTATTCTCCAACTAATTTTCTTTCATTACACTATGTTTATTTTTCTATTCTGGTTAAAAAAAAAAAATATGAAAATTTTATTTCTTACAATCTGGTCTGAAATTTGAACATGAATTATTACGAGGAGAACTAACATATCCCTTTAATTATTAGACCAAAAAACAGATGTGCACATGCATATATGTAATTGATTAGGGTATTGTATGATCTATGGCCGCTAGAGTAAGTTGTTTTGATTGACCAAAATATAACTGATCAAATTACAACAATTAATATAACAGTCCACCACTCTAGGTTTGTAATGATCTAGTTGTTCATCACTTCTTAGACTAGTTTGGTTTGAATTGGGTTCCTTTTTAAATTAGGAATAATATAATCTATCATATTAGATAAACCCAAATCATTAATTTTTTAATTAATGGTTTGGATTATATATATAATCTCCATTTATCAAAGCAACTTATTTTTTATTAGTTTGTTCTGTAATACTATTATTATTTTTTAAAAAAATCATAATCATTTTCATTTTTATTTTCAAACAGTTTAAACATTTTGAACAAATATAAATAGAAAACTCGCTAGTAAGCAAGTGTCAATTTGTAGAACAGGTTCAAAGTTTGATTCTTGTAGTTAGTCTTTTTTTAAAATTTATTCTCAAAATATCGGAGATCATGCTTTGAGGAATGCCCTTTAACCATATATATGAAAAGATTAATTTTGAAATGCGTGAAAACTGGTCCGAGGACACTATATATATATATATAGAGAGAGAGAGAGAGAGAGGAAATAGTAATCTCTTTAAAAGTAATTTATTAGAAAATAGGACAATCTCGTTAAGAGTAATTTCTTAATGTAATAACCATTTCAGTACCAGCCTTCGCATCAAATACATTTTGTTTGTTTTGTATGGCCGCTAGAGTCTCAAAGTTTAGCATATATGCCAGTAAAAACAGATCTTCGAATCATCTTCAGAATTCAGAAACATACAGTGCACAGTGATTACCACCGTAGGTTCAGAGTTTATTAAAGATCAAAAGAAGAGGCAAAAGATAAAATGCTCAAACCATAAGTGCCGACATTCTCATATTCTTGAGCCTTAAATCATGCATTGCACCTGAGCTTTATGATCATTAAGCTTTTGTTTATTTGGCACCGAAGGAAGCCTTCTTCTTATATATATATGAATTATATTGCTCCTATGAGTGGCAATAGATACATTATAATGGAGGCTAGAGGTGTTGTATGCAGTAAATGTAGGCACCGATTATCAATACCGACAGCGACTTTCACAGAAGTAAAGTGCCCAACTTGCAACATGATGAATCCGATTCCAACCTATGAACGATCCGGTAATCGGAGTGTCGAAAAGTTAATTGTTAAGGCAAAGGGAAAGATATCAGGCCATGATCTCATTAGTAGGAAAAAACCGGACTCGTTGAATAAGAATCCCTCCCCTTTCGACATTTGGGGGTCATCATCGGCGACAAGGCCCGCAGGGAAGCGAGCGCTGCTGATCGGAGTGACTTACAAAAGTAAGCACAAGCTTAAGGGGACTATCAATGATGTGAAGAGCATGAGAGAAATGTTGATCGCCAATTTCGGCTTCAAGGAAGGGAACATTCTGGTTCTTACAGGTATTCCTCAATGGTCTTAGGCATGCTTGTTGTTTCGATTTACATAGTTAAGATAATTGTTTTCTTCTACTATTTTTTACGTTCTGATTATGCATAAGCTAGTGCATGGGAGGAAATCAAATTTACGTGGGATCTACCATGGGACTCCCAGATGACTATTAAGGAATATCCACAGATGGGGATTGTAAATATTTATAATATCTAAGTCAAAGAACTACTTTTTATTTTTCACTTTAAGTATACCGTGTATATATTATTAATTTCCACAAAATACAGGAACAACAATGCTTTGTTATTTGTTGCAAAATGCAGAACAGGAGACAGAACCAGAACTAATTCCAACCAAGAAAAACATCCTGAAATCCCTGGAATGGCTCGTGAGGGGATGCCAGGCAGGTGACTCCCTCGTGTTCTACTTCTCTGGTCATGGATTACGTCAACCAGATTTTGAAGGCGATGAGCGAGATGGGCTAAACGAAACTATTTGTCCGGTGGATTTCATGACAGAAGGCATGATCGTTGACAATGAAATTAATTCAACCATTGTTTGGCCCCTCAAAAAAGGTGCCACTCTTCATGCAATTGTTGATGCTTGTCACAGTGGAACTGTCCTTGACCTTGAGTACGTCTTCAATAGGCAAAAGTAAGTTTCATCCCTTTGAGTGCATTCTGAAGCTAGCTTGCAATGTTCAATAGATCACCAAGCTTCAGATCCTCATTTACTTTTATCCTGCATTACATATTTTTACCTTTGTAGGCTGAAAATGCAAATTTCTCACTTGCAACAGCAAAAAATGGGAAGATAACAGCCCTCCATCTGGAAATGCTAGGAAACATACAGATGGTGGATTGGCAATTACTCTCAGTGCTTGTCTGGATAATCAAGTGGCTGCCGATACCACCGTAAGATATGCACTTGTTCGATATTCTGATGTGAAAGATTAATGTGATTAATTTCTGTCTTCAGAGGAAATATTTGAATTAGCTCACTCCTCTGGTTACATAAATTTGATTTCAGGCTTTCACAGGAAAGACAATGAATGGAGCTATGACCTATCTCTTAACAAAAAATCTGAAGAAATATCGCGGAGTAACATACGGTGACCTACTTGATATGATGCATGAAGACTTGCAGAATGTTAACGAAAGCGGATGCTTCGCTGAAAAATTCTTCAAAAAAATAATGAAGAACTTGTTATTACAGGTCAGCTTCTATCGTAGACTTAATTCTTTGGCTCAGACAGCAACTAGTTCATCACATTTTTATATGATTTCTCATAGTGTTGTTTGATGTGTGCAGAAGCCTCAAATTTCAGCTTCCAAACCATTTGACGTTTACAAGGAATATTTTATTTTGTAATAGAGCAAGAAAGCAAATAAGAACATGCCTGTGACCTGTGAGTCTCTAATAATAACTACGATGCATGCCTCATTGAAGAGCAAGGACCGTTTTGGGCACCCAGTTTCTTCCCAGAATATGCACGGATAAACATGTTCATTCAGTTCTTGTTTGGCCAAATAAGCGAAATCTATATTTGTCTTGTTTTTAGCGAGCGGATATCTTTCAAGATTTGCTGTTGTCATTTGAGAATAGCAAAGAATGTTTTGTTAAATCTACTCTGTCTCTATTAAATTTGATGGTTGAGATTTTGTTACATTTAAAAAACTTGGGTTTTATAATAAATGGTCCACTCTCAATCTTTTATACTATTTTTATTATTATAATATTTCGATGTGAAATAGCTTTTTTAAAACTCCTCCCTCTTGCAATCCATTTTTTGTGTTAAATGATTTGACTTTTAGGATTTTAATTTATTGTACTATTGAATTTTTTAAAGTTTTGTTATCATATTAAATTTGATAATAAAAATTTAAATTTTATGATGGATGGTTCATTCTTAATCTTTTATATTATATTATTGTAATTATTGGATGAAAGAGTTTGAGGTTGGAAATCTTCTATTGTATTGTTGTAATGATTGATTACAATGAGTATTTACCCATAAGAGATATAAAATCCTAGTGACTATAGACTAGGTCAGTATATGGACCATACAATTGATGGTTTAATTGCATTAAACATCATTTTATTTTTTGATTTTTTTAATATGGCCTTTGTAATTTTTTTTTATTTAACCCTTCTTTGTATTTTTTAATTTTTCTTAATGCTACCCTTTTCACTAATTTTGGATTAATTTTTCGATTAAAATTCTACGTGGCATGACACGTTAGAGTATTTTATCATTAGAAAAAAAATTAAAATTACTGAAAATGATAAAACAAATAGGACCTATCTCTTATGCTTCTCCTTTTCTTCTCTCTCTAAAACATGTTGTCGAAAAAATGCACCAAAATGAAAATGAAGAAAAAAAAAAAGGACCAGCCTTGGATAAGTATATGCATCTCACTTAGAAAATTTTGAAATCTCTGAATAATTAAGTTCTTCATTTTCTCCCAAAAGACGATAAGGACCATCAACACATGGCGTAACTGATGGAACAATCTCCATCAGTAAATTCAGTTGTTATTGCTTTTATAATAGGGATGTTTTTATTAACATTTTCTCTTCTCTGCTTTCTTCTGAATGGTGCTTCTATGCTCTTGTTGACTGATACTTTGAAATGATGGTGATTGATGAGATTTTTTTTTTTATCAGACTATTTCAGACAGACCTTCACCGGCAGCTTACACGACAACTGGCCAGTTCTTTAACCCAGATGATCGAGAGAGAGAGATTCATCTTCTCAATTTATGCTTCTATCTACCCTTTTTTAGAAAGTTAACGTTTTCTTAAAATAGTTTATTAAAGAACCATCTTACCTAAAAGCTTTTTCTAAAGTGAAAGTTTTAATATTTGAGCTTAAAATTTATATAAATTCACATTATTTTATATTTAATATTTGAAAAATTAAAGATGATGAGACTTAAATTCAAGATTACATGATCAATCAAGCCATGATATTATATTAAAGAATCATCTCATCTAAAAGCTTAAGTTGATAGATGAGATCTCAAAATATAATTTATATTAGTCTAACATAGCTTAAGACATTGAATCTTAAAATAATGGGTTAATTAAATTATGTTTTTCGAGACAACTGACATTGATGGTTTCGTAACTTCTATCTGTGCAGGAATCGCTTTTGAAGGAGGATCACCCCGTAACTCTCAATTTATTATTCACTATTTAGCTTAGGACTTTTGCCTATTTCTTCATCTTTGACGACAACAGTGTGGAATACAAAGTTCTGGCCTTTTTGCAGAAGGGTTTGAAGACATGGTAAACAGTAGTAAGGAATTTAATTTGTTATTGTCAGCCAATTGTTTTATCGTTTATGAATCTTCATGTAATCCTTTTATTCTCAAGTATGCATAATTGCTACAAGTCTCTTTGAGTTGTTCCCTACAATTATACCCCTAATTTTAATTTCAATTATACCTCTATCGGCCTTCAATTGCAATCTCAATTTTTTTTGATTGCATCCTTATTTCATTAAATTTTTCCCTAATTGATTTTGAATTTCAAATCTGATTGTTTTCAATTTCAATCGTTATTCCCTTCAATTATATCATTATTTAATCATTTCATGCAAGATTTTTGTGATTTTTTTTATATGCGTCTATATATATATATATATATATATATATAGTTTTGTATTTTCATTTTCCTTCTTTGTTTTTTTTTTTTTGCTTTGTTTACAAAAATAAAATAAAAATAAATCTTAAAATTAAACATAAAACTTGTAAAATTGATCAAAATAAAATGAAAAATAAAATAAAATAAATATAAATAAGAAGAATAAAATCAGCTAAAATGCAAGTAAAATAAGCAAAAATAAACATAATTCAAATTTTAGACTATGACGCTAACCAATAACAATGATTGAGCTACAGAGTCCTGTATATATCCAAGAAAATACCCTTCAAGATATAAATAGTTTCTAAATAAGAAGAAAAGCACCATGCTAAATAATTGTTTAAACAAATATATATATATATATATATAGTGGCGGACGTAGGATCAAATGTCTACAGGAGCCAAAATAAATATTTATAAAATTATCATAATTTACATAAATTTATATATATTATAAATAACATACCACTATATATTTTAAAATAATTTCAAAATACAATAACTCAAAATAAAGATCTTCATTCTTTCAAGTCATAAAAATCATCTATAAAAGAATTTATATTAAAATTTTCAATAATTTCTTTTTTAATATATATTAATAAATAATCGAAATGAAAGTCATCTTCCTTCTTGGTACGAAGCTTATTCTTGGCTTCTTTTGATCTTCAGTGAAAGCAAATTATTCTATTGACTGTTGAGCACCACACAACGTGATCTGACCTGGGACAAAAAGAAAAACGTACCAGGATAGATATTCAAAGTAGTATTAGCTATTTGAGTACCATAAAATTTATTATAAAACTCTTTTTATGGAACTGAATTAATTTAGGTAAACCTAGAATAAAACATGGTTAAGAAATCCTAATGATGATGCCTTTCTTTTTTCCTTTTTTTTTCCTCTCCCTTTTTAAGAAACTAATCATACTCTTGCTTCATATTTATTTATTTATTGCGGTCCGAATTTATTTGTTGATTTTAACTTCATATGAATTATTTTTCTTCCAGCAAATGTGCAAATTAATATGGCCAGTAGATTAGGAATCTAATCCTGAAGTAGCCGTTCCATGCATTGTCATCCACTGAATAATAGGGATAGGCATCTGGTTCTCCCCAAAAGGCAACTACAATTGGCCTGAACAGGCAGTCGCAACCTTGATTGACCTGGTTTAATTTACTGTAATATTCTCCCAATATGGTGCATGACATCAAGACCTTTTTTTTTTTTTTTTTTGGCAAATTTTACTTGGATTTGATTTCGTCTTTTATGGCAGTTGGAGACCCTCAAAAAATACATCGTCGAATCATCTTCAGAGTTGTTGGACAATTAAGAGAATTCAAGACATTCAGTGCATATAGATTATTAGTAGGCTAAGGTCTAAGAGTTCACCGGAAATCAAAAGAAGCGGCAAAAGATAAAATGCTTGTATCCCACAAGAGCCGACATTCTAATATTCCTGAGCTTTGAGTAGGTTAATAGGGCATTTTAAATCTTGCATTGCGGCCTCGCTGTTCACCTCTCGTCAAAGTTCTGCTAAGCTTTCTTATTTTTTAGGCCGCAAAAGAATCCTTCGTATATTAGATTATATATAAGCATGGCTTCTATGGATAGCAATAAAAACATGTTGATGATGGAAGCTAGAGGGGTTGTATGCAATGTTTGTAGGCAACGGTTATCAATATTGAAAACAAATTCCACTGGAGTTAAGTGCCCAACCTGCAATATGATGAATCCAATTCCAACCTATGACCGATCTGGTAGCAGAGATTGGGGAAAAGATTGTCCGATTGAAAAGTTTATTGGCAAGGCAAAGGAAATGATATCAGGCCATGATCATGTCATTAGTAGCAAGAAACCGAAATCATTGAATACGAAGCCTTCGCCTTTGCACTTTTCGGGGTCATCATCGGGGACAAGGTCGGCGAGGAAGAAAGCACTTCTAATCGGAGTGACTTACAAAAGGAAGCAGAAGCTTGAGGGGACTGTGAATGATGTGAAGAGCATGAGAGAAATGTTGATCACCGACTTTGGGTTCAAGCAGGAGAACATTCTGGTTCTAACAGGTATTTCTATTTAGAATATGGCTATATAGGCATGCTTGCTGTTTTCATGTGCTTGGTTAAGATGATTGTTCATTCTCTAATGTTCTGAAATCTGCTTCTCTTTTGCCCTGCTGACCATTGCCGATATTCCTTCTGATATGCATAGCCTAGTATTACACATATACATGGGAAGAAATCAATTTATATGTCTCCATGAATATTAGGAAAGGAATATATTCGGATGACTATTGTCAATTTCGTGTGCAGGAAATGAGAGAAAGGGAGGAATAAACAAGGTTATAAAGTCTCCTAAACCACGGTCAAAAGGAAAAATGTATCCAACCTTTTTTTCCTGATTTAGGTCTTTAATCGGCAACTGAGTTATTTTATCTTTCCTGAGAGACACAAAAAAACTATTAGAACAACTACAAATCTTCAAAAAATTCTAAACACAAGACATGTATTGTTGTTTTATAGCTTTTCGTGTTTTTTTATACATTTAATGTGATTTGAAATTAGTTAATAGGATGAAAAAACTTAATTAAATATAAAAAAATCAAAGATCCAAATAAAAAAAAATGATTAGAGACTTTTCTTCTATCGACGAGTTGTTCAGTATACCTATAATCAATTAGCCAATAAAGAAGGAACCTTTTTTTAAAAAAATAAATATTTTAGAAGCTAAGCTCTATACCTGATTGGAAGTGACAAATAGTTGTTTGCTGGTATTTAAACTGCAGAACAGGAGACTGAACAAGAACTAATTCCAACAAGGAAAAACATTCTGAAATCCCTGGAATGGTTAGTGAAGGACTGCCAGGCAGGTGACTCCCTAGTGTTCTATTTCTCCGGTCATGGCTTGCGAAAGATAGATTTTGATGGCGACGAGCGAGATGGGTTTGATGAAACTATTTGTCCTGTTGATTTCTTGAAAGAAGGCATGATCCTCGACAATGAAATTAATTCCATCATTGTTTGGCCGCTGAAAAAAGATGTCACTCTTCATGCAATAGTGGATGCTTGTCACAGCGGAACTGTCCTTGATCTTGAGTACATCTACAATATACAAGCGTAAGTTTAATTTAACGAAAGAACTCTGCCATTTTTATCACTGTGTGGGATTGAAGCATCACAATTTTCTCAAAAACGATGAAGTTTGCATTATTCAATAGATTACCAATCTCCTACATTACGTAGTTTCACCTTTATAGGATATTGGAGACTGATGAAAATGCAAATTTCTTACTTTCAACAGCAAGAAATGGGAAGATAACAGCCCTCCATCTAGCAATGCAAGGAAACATACAGATGGTGGATTGGCAATTTCTCTCAGTGCTTGCCTGGATAATCAAGAGGCTGCCGATACCTCTGTAAGATATATATGCATTTGATTAATGTGATTATTTGTCTGTCTTTAGAGGAATATTTGAATTAGCTCACACTTCTCTACTAACATAAATTTTCAGGCTTTCGCAAAAACGATGAGCGGTGCCATGACCTACCTTTTAATATACATTTTGAAGAAACATCCCGGCGGAGTAACATATGGTAACCTACTTGACTTGATACATGAAGAGTTGAACAAGGTCAATGAACGTGGATGCCTTCTTGCAAAATTCTTGAGAAAAATATTGAACGATAAGTTATTGCAGGTCAGCTTCTGTTCTAGAGTTAATTGTTCTGGAATCTGGGAGTCAATTAGTTCACATTGTCATGTAGTATTTTCTCATGGTTTTTCCTCGTGTGCAGAAGCCTCAACTTTCAGCTTCCGAACCCTTTGATGTTTACCAGAAACATTTTATTTTGTAATCAAGAATTCACTTCAAAAGATTGATTGATTGAATCGTGATAGCAAGGAATGAAATAAGAGAAGTCGTTGTGATTTGCGAGTCTCCCGTAATAACTTCAAAGCAAAATTGGTGCCCGCCCAAGAACACCGGTTGTTTTTCTCTGACAATAAGCATTGATTCTGTTTCATGATTGATCAAAAAGGTAAAATATTTTTTTTATCAAAGTTTTGGCTAACAGCTAATATCTTTCAAAGATTTGTTTGTTGTCATTTAAGAATAACATGTATAGAGTCCCCAACCTATACAGAAGTGAAACTTTGTTATAGAACAACTCTGTTTTCCTGAACTCACTTATTGCTTCATTGCTAATAACTAGCTAATTCCATGCGAATTGTTGCCCAACACATATTTGACTTCTTTTGTTCAGAGTAAGTATGCTTTGTATGTCCTATGTCACACACGGTCTTAGACATGTCCCTCAAGTTGCCTAAAGTACAGTTGACGAATAAGATTGCGACGGACAAAAAAATACAAAATCCTATACATTTAAGTAACAACCGATATGTACATATCGTAATGATTGTTATATAACAATAGCAAAGTATTTTATTATCGTTATTATACATTATGGCTGCTCTAACACTATTTTATAAAGATAACAACAAATAACAACGTTATCGTTACATAATATCTTTATGTTATACGACGACATTATATATATATATATATATATATATATTACGCTTTTTGCCCGACTATGACAAACCCGATATTTAGAATCAAAAGATTGAAGGAATGCAAGCTTTAATTGAATAAATTACAAATTATTCTCCTTAGTTTGAAAGAAAAAAACTAATTATTTAGTTATTTTATGTTTTTTTTTTAATTTTTTTATTTTAAAAATAAATAAATAAATTTATCTCATGAGAAAATTGATGAAAAAAGAAAACATTTTATTAAATAAAATATTATTAGATAATAGCATAATCATTGATAAAAAAAATTAAATAATTAGTTTTCTTCATGTAAGACATAGGAGGGCAATCTACATTCTAAGAATAAAGATCTATAAAGAATAATCACATAGAATGTTAGAGCTCTAACACCGTATATTGACAAAGCAATAAAAGGTTTAGTATGGAAAAATAAAAAAGGGTTTCTTCTAATGTCATATGGCTTGATGACCGATAACAATGAAGCCACAGCGTAAAGTAAAAAACCAAGGTCCCATCAACAATCCAAGCATATACTATGACGTTATCATCTTATTAGAGAGATTGTCAATCATGGTGATATAAGAATAGAAAAAGTCCACACTAACGATAACATAGCAGATCCCTTGACTAAACCTTTGTCACATCATAAACATGAAACCCTTGTTCGAGTGTCGAATACAAGTAAAGTGGTTGGTTGGCTCTAGTGCAAATGGGAGATTGTTAGTCTAAGTGCCCAAGATCCAACTCGTTTGAATGGTTTGACTTATTGTATCATTGTATTTTAATATTAATAAAAGAAGTCTTTTTATTAATTCTTGTTATTTATAATTTGATAGAATTAGATAGAAGTTCATATGATATGTATTGCATTAATGATTGATCAATAGATGTGAGATGAATATCAATGCATTTAAATGATATCATTAAATATCTCAAATCATATTATTGTCAAGATTAGACATTGACAACCTACAATAAACTTATGGGTGCTATTCTTTTGTTATAAAATAGCAGTAGGAGATCTCACACTTATTGTCATGGTGATGTCAAAGTAAGCACTCAAGTGAATAATGTTATAGAACACATCACCGAACGTGTCTCGCCATGGTACCTATTTGATTTAGTTTATGAAAATCTTATAAAGATGGTTACAAATAATCCTTTGACTCGAAGTCATCATGGTTATCTCATTAGAAGATTGATGTACTTTGACATTATTTTCGATTAACTCCGTAAAGAGCTACATGTAAGTAGTTCGTTGGGTGAATTATGAATCTAATAGAAATAGATGGATGACTAAGATAGGACATATCATACCTTATATGCTAAAATAGTTATCATATTACACTTCAATGAATGTCTACTCAAGGAATCTGTGCCCATAGTGGTAGTACACTAATAAAACATAGTTAGTTTACTTGAGAGCTAAGACATTTAAGAATCGAAGAAAACTTATATGATCATAATCGAACAAATAATAAACAAAGTTCGAGATCACATTGATATAAATTGACATGAAGATTGAATTGTATAAAAACCATACTAGTAAAAGATAATTATGAATTAATTAATTCTTCTAGAGAATTGGATAGTCATAATGTCTTACTAAATGCCAAGCTTGATTTATGTATTAAGAAATAAAAGAGGAGTCTTTTATATTTAATACATTACTAATATATCTAGGAGCTTATTGAGTCACACATATAAGTTTATACATTCATACGATAAAAGAGAAACAAAGATTTTAGAAAAAAATTTCTATTTTATAAAGTTTCTTATTTAAATTTTTTTTTCTATTTTGGAAAGTTTCATATTTTGGAAAGTCGATTAGGGATGATAATTTGTCCCACCCCGACAAAGCCCCGCTCGACCTCGATCCACATGGGAATTCCCTAAGTTAACTAGGGAACGACACATGACATCCCATTTCGTATTTATTTTGAACGAGGATGGGGCAGGGATGGTATTTGGCTACCCCGTCCCGTTTGCCTTACTCCGTCCCCGAAATTACAATTATATCCTATATAAAATCTATGACTATTAACTCTTGGGGTTTATTTTTTATATGAACTATCATTTTTTGCTATAGTTTGAAATTTAATAGTACAATGGGGTGGGACGGGATAAAAAAAAAATTAAACGGGGCTCGGTACCCCATAGGGATCCCCATCCTCGTTTGAGGTGGGGATGGTCTAAGAAATATTACCCGCGCGAGGCACAGGGTGGGGATGGCCCCATTGCCATTCCTAAAGTTAGTTTCATAAAATGAAAATCAATTTCCTATTTAAAAAATCAGTTTACTAAATTGAAAGTTTGAGAAGTCGGTTCCAAATTTAGAAATCATTTACCTAATATAGAAATCAATTTCCTAATTTAGGTTTAAAGGCAATTTGAGAAATTACTTCCTAATAAGAATCTCACTAAAATACTTGACCCAATTTACTTGGATGATCCAAATTAATTAGTAATTAATTAAGCCAAAGGAGTTTGGACGAATAAGTTTAATTTAAAAGCCTATAAGATATTTTGGTGAAGGAATAAACTTGATCACTATTCAATAAGGTTCGGGGTTTACAAGGATAAGATTAGATAAAGCTCATATAAGCTACTTCTCCTTCAACTATAAGGAGAAGTCTGTTGCCCTATAAGTAAAATTGAGAGAGAGAGGCGATACATGATATATTAGAAAAAGAAAAAAGAAGAGCACTCTCTCTCTTAAAAAATTCGACCATCCTCTCTCTCTCAAATAAGTTGGCGTAAAACCTTAATAGATTTCTTACAGAAAAAAAAATGTTATATAAAATAATTGAAGCTAGCACATGATGATTTCTATAGCTTCTTATCCGAGTGCTTGAGTTGCATGAATTATTAGTAGAGGCTGAATATTTGGACGGTTTCTTTTCACAAAGGTTAATTCCGCACCTGTAAGAGGTAATCACTCATCATTATTTTATTCATATTTATATGATTAGTTGATTCAATGGCATGATCTTGAAAGATTTAGATGGAGGAATTTTTTTTTTGTTTATTTTGCACCTCCATAAAATGCATAATCCTTCAACTTCTCTCATTCAATCACTCAACACAATCAACAAATAACCAATCATACAATTTCACCTTCAATCATTCAAATTGTACCTTATCACACAATTTCAACATAAACTCCTAAATTCTCAATTCACAACAAAACAACAATTAATCATTTAAAGTATTAAACTACTTGTAATATGGATGAGATCACACTTACCCACCATCATCACTTGGTTCAATCAATCATCAATTGAACACGAATCGTTCAATTACACAAATTGAAACCCTAAGTTTCTAAGAACATAATTTCACCAATTCAGGTACATAATCATCCTAAGTTTTGTGGTGAGTTGAAATTACACTTACCGTAGGTTGGTTTGATGATGAAATCACTTAAAAATCCTCAAAACCGTCCCTCTCTTTCTTACCCAAAATTTCAAGCAAAACAGCTCCTCTCCCCTTTGAATAATTGGTCCTCCTTTTGGCCAAACTTGCTTCCTTTGATCAATTCCAGCTTCTTCCCTTAGTAAATCTTGGTTCTCTCTACTTTCTCTCTTGTAATTTGGTCTCTCCCTTGCTCTCTTTCTCTCAAAGATGATGGAGGAAGAAAAGTAAGTGGAATGTTCCCCTAACTTATTTCCTTCTCTTAGTCAACACTTTGCCCAAAATGCCCCTAATGAGCTACATATCCTAAGGTGATATTTTAATTTAAGTGGAATACCTACTTAGAATATTATTTTCCTAGATTAATACATGTTTAGATCACTAATTGAATTTTTAAATCTTAAGTTACACATGTATGGAAATGTTTAATTATAATATATTTTCTAAATCTTTCGTTTATCAATTAATTTACCATTCATACATAACACTCAACGAACATTAATTTTTTAAACAAAATATTTAACAATAATAATACAAGTATGATATGAACATACTTAGCAAAACAATAATGCACACAAAGCATAGAAAATAAATTCGGCTATTACATCTAATGGAAATCTTAAAAAAGGATGATGGTTGCATGTGTGGACTAGCCTAATGCTTTGGCTTGCGAGATAAAATGGTGACAAGTTTCATTTAGGGTTAAATTCACTTGCAAGAAAAGTATAACATTCGTAAGTCTTTTCTACATAAGTTCAATTGCTCCGAAAAATTAATTTATTATTCATACATAACACTCAGCAACATTAATTTTTTAAACAAAACATTTATCAATAATAATACAAGCATGAAATTAACATACTTAGCAAAACAAATATGCATACAAAGCATAGAAAATAAATTCGAGTATTACACCACATGGCATTTTTAGAAAAGGATGATGATTACACTTGTGGATTGGCCCAATGCTTTGTGTGACGCCCCCACCCCGGTTCACTCTCTATTACCAAAGTAGGAGTAATTAGACGAGGAGCGCGTCACGTTAACATTTTCAACCCGACTTAAACCTTACTACGTACATGCTGGTACCATAACAACATATTACATATTGAAATATGTACATCATAATTTACATGATAATAATAATCAAATCGAAGAAATTACAATTTATTTTATTTACAATACCATCAAAATGGCTACCGATAACCCCAACCTAAAATTTACAATCAAAATGAAATCTCCTAAGGTTTGTATCACCCCGAGCCCTTTTGGAGGATTCGAGTCGAGTCCTTATTGGTACTACAATCACCGCTACCTGTCATAACATGCAAATAACAACGAGATAAGTCAAAGTTCGGTAAGTGAGGTGATGCATGTGATATGCAATGCTTTTCCGACTTCCCACCATACTCATTAATTTTAAATTTTGGGTATCCCGGGTATTAACGATCTACTTTATAGGTGATTACCAAATTACCGAATGCTAACAACTAAATTTTCCTCGTTGTAGCCACTGCCGACGGGAATTCATCGCCTAACAGATGCGGGCACACAACTTAGAGTACACATACAGACTAGACCACTAACCCTTTTTTCTTCGATTACGTTACCACCCCTATCCATACACACCACTTGTCAACCATTTGATTCTTTCTCAATTCATCCCCACCAATGCATATGATGCACGTGATGCCATATTACCATGTTTAACTTATTGCGGGTACCAAACCTACACTATCAATTTGTTCTCATCATCTAACTTCGTATAGGGTTTTATACATTTTCATATTATTGCCACAATGTTATCCCTCAAGGAGGACCCATCACCGCCGACTAGTATTAGTCGGGCCACCAATTTTCTTTTGCACGTGAGCACGCTTCCTCGGTTAGTTTTGATGAGTCTCATCATTTCACTTGATTTACATGATCGTTGATTCTAAGGGTTGTTTTGTGGTATAAAATTCTATTCTAATCTGAATTTAGTCTCCATTTTCTAGCCTTTCATTTTCTACTCATAAGGGATTATTCAACCATTACTCATAAGGTCTGGATAGTTGGGAATGATTAAGTTATACATACCAAATTAGGATTTCTTTCCTAACCTTAGCTTGCGTATTGATAGCCAAAATTTGTCCTTAATGGGCCTAGGTCATGAATTCAGTTTTACTCCTCATTTTACACTTTTTTTCGATGTAATTTAACTATTAATCATGAGGTTGGAAGGTTATAGTCCAAATTCCTCAATTTTTCCTAAACGTAGCATAAGGTTTCTCTTTCATTTTTATTAAATCTCTTCCACTCTAACTTACTATTTCGCACCTAATTGGGTTAGTAATAGGTTATAGGCTTTAAAGTTCATGAGAAAATCCAATTGTGCTCACTTTGGGATTCCTAAACCGAATGGGTCTTTAAGAAAACCCTAAGCACTCCTTTGTTTCCCTTCCAATTTATTCATCCCAATATTCGGTCCAAGCCCTTAAATTTTTAGCCCGCAATCATTAACACATGATGAAACACACATTAGGCATGATAAACTTCAATGATCACACAAATACAATATAACAATTAAATCCAAACCAAGCCATCCACACACCAATCTAATACAAGCCAAACTTTAACAATACCAACAATAACTTAGCTAAATACATGAATTAAACTCATCAAAAGAAACTTAAACATGAAGTAAAACCCACTTACATAGCTTAGACGTGGTTGGATTTCCTTAGATTTTCTTTCTTTCTTTTCCTTTACTTTCCTTTTTCTTTCTCTCTTTCTTGCCCTTTTTTTCTCTCCCAATATGGTGGTTTTGGTTTGCTAAAAAATTCTCACCATCTTAACACTTTCTATTTATATATATATATACTTACTTTCCCTTTTTAAGTGAATTAAATTACAAGTGTTGAAAATTAATGGGACAAGGTGTAAAATTTATGGGTGAGTCATGTGAGAGGTGGCGGGTTTGGGACAAAACATGGATGAGTTGGCTATTAATTCATTTAATGCATTGCTTAGGTGTCTAACTAAAAAATTAGGTTAACTAAACACCCTAATTAACTTGGTTCAAGTAACTAAACTCATTTCTTTTAATTAAATTTTGGAAATCCCTCTCCCTAAACTCGAAATTTTCTTTCCTAAAATTTCTAGCGAGTGGTACATCCAAATGGTCTATACCAAATCGACCATATATATATATATATATATATATATATATATATATATATATATATATATATATATATATATATATCATGAAATTTTATAGAGATCTAGTAGACACATAGATGAACAACGTTTATACTTTGAGTTTTACCCAAAAATCAATCTAAGATCCCTAAATAAATCACATAAAATTCGGATAGAATATAGTCCTCAGACTACTCGATTTTGCATATTTGATTTCTTAAATAATTAAAAAATTAATCTCAAGCACAATAACTTTAATTTAACATAAATTTCACATTTCAAGCATTAATTTCTCATGGTATAATGAGAATTATACTTACACTTAATATATACATATATATGAATATTCTAATACGTGTCGTCTTATGGTTAAGGATTTTTACGGATGTTACACTTTGGTTTGGAGATAAAATGGTGACAAGATTCATTTAGGGTTGAATTCACTTGCAAGCAAAGTATACATTCGTAAGTCTTTTCTACATAAGTTCAACTGCTTTGAAAAATAATTCTACTAAATCCATTCCTCATAACTTTATATAAAGTAGGATCATTTCTTTAGATACTTCATAACCGGAGAGGTGGTATGTTGTCGTTGATTTCCTCCACGAAAAGCCATCTATTTGGATCCTATAGATATGAGTTAAGAGATGTCTTTTTTATACTATTCATCTTTCGGAAAAAGATGATTATATGGCTGCCTCGTCCTCTACTTAATTCTTAGGTGGAGAAAGAATCAATGATGAAAAAGCAATAAAGTAATCGTTTCATAGACCTCAGAATAAAGAGAAGAGCATCTAGTTCCTTCTTCTTTATAAGGTTCTTGTTAAGGAAATGAATCTGACAACAAGAAGACATGCTGATAGGATTACAAGGATTGGACTTTTGGGTAAGATGTTGTTCCTACTGCAGACAAATAGCATATTTTATCTTTAAAATTTTAGGATAACCTTCATGCCTCTTGGCAACCTCAAAGAGCAAGTCTTTGATTCTTGGTCTAGTATGCAAGAAAGGCATATTAAATGTATTCTGATCTCAGACCAACTTATACAACGTTAATTTCTCAGAAAGGTTTTCAATTTTCTACAAAAAGAAAAATAATGGATTTCATGAAATTTACTGCCATGTGTTAATATTCTCCGGTTTCTGCCAATATTAACAGTTCTCAGAAAATCTAACAAGCTGTAATTTTCATACTATGGGCAGACAGTAAAGTAGTTGATTGAAATACTTTGTGCATACGCATTCTGATATATTTCACACTCCATTAGCAGTATCAATTCCACAAGTATTAGCCCCATGTTTCTACCCCATATTTCTACAATAAAGAATTTTTCCTGATTTATAATCTGAAGAGTTTCATGAATGAATGTAACATTTTCTTGTAGAAAATCTTAGTGATGGGTTTTCTCAGACAGTTGAACATGCCAAATCGTATCCACTGGTTTCTCATATCCAAATTATTCATGAGTTGATACGTTCTTGTTCTTATACCCCAGCCAGTATAATGTATTAGTTAAACGAGAGAAGTTGAATATAATTAGAGAGTTTTATAAAATGCTTAAAAATAGCTGAACAATATCTAGATTATTGCTAAGGTAGAACCTTCACCTCTTTATGCTCTCATCTCATGAAAATTCCAATTAAGGTTATCCACACAACCTTCTGGTTCAGAGTTATTAGACCATGAAACCTACTAGCAGCCAAGATCGAGGCCAGAGTTCCTTCAGAAGCTTTGTTGCTAAGAGAAGTACTAAGCTATCTAGGAGTGGCACTGGTAGCTCAAAATCTTACAAGTCATTAAATTCTACGCCCTCCCCTTTGCTTTCCTCCAAGTCGTTGTCTGGCGCAAGACCAAGCAGGAAGCGTGCACTACTTATCGGAGTAACTTATATGAAGTCGAAGCACGAGCTTAAGGGAACTATCATTGATGTGAAGAGAATCAGAAGTTTGTTGTTGGATACCTTCAAGTTCCCGAGAGAGAACATTCTTGTTCTAACAGGTACTTTAGCAGCTCTATTTCCTTTTGTTTTGGTTTGATTTGTACTGAAATTTATATGCTTCAATAACGAAAACCAAACTGAAAATAGAGGAGGAGTCAGAACCAGCATTTGTTCCAACGAAGAAGAGCATTGAGAATTCCTTCAAATGGCTTGTCGACGACTGTCAGGCCGGTGATTCCTTGGTGTTCTACTTCTCAGGACATGGCGTAAGACAACCTGATATGGATAGCGATGAGAGCGATGGGTTCGATGAAACTATCTGCCCTGTTGATTTTATGCAAGCAGGTTCGATCACTGATGATGCAATTAGGTCTTCCATTGTCAGGCCTCTCAAAAACGGTGTTACACTTAATGCAATTGTTGATGCTTGTCATAGTGGAACTGTTCTTGATCTACCATTCGTGTATAACATAAGAGAGTAAGTATCGCAGTTATCTTTCAGACTAAATGCTTAACCATATCTATGGCAAATGAGTGCCTTCAGTAGAGTTTTGAAAAACATTTTATGGTTTGAGACCATATATAAGGTTGCATGAAACAGGAAGAAATGGGAAAAATCCGGTCGATCTAAGGACGAGAAAGGGACAAATGGTGGACTGGCAATTTCAATCTCTGCTTGTGAAGATAGACAATTTGCTGCAGATACTTCTGTAAGAGATTCTTTTACCTTAATGTTCCCTGTGTTTTTTCTTGTTACATACCTGAGCGGATACCAAGTTGGATTTGATCCTTAGCTACTTTATATATTTCAATCTCTTATGATTTACATGATCATTCAACGTTTTCGGTTCAAGATCAGACTTCGCAACTTATTTCAACGTTCACTATGCAGTCCTGCATTGGAAAATCATCGATGACTGGAGGCGCCATGACCTACATTTTGATAGAAATTGCAAAAAAGAACCCTGAAATGACATATGGTACGCTGCTTGACTCCATTTATAACTACATTCAAAAAGCTAACAAAGGAGGATGCCTTCCTGGGATCTTCAAAAAAGTGTTGAACGACATTATATCACAGGTCAATATCTTATTTATGTATTGCTTATCCTCCTTGCTCATGATAAATATATTTGCTCTGGAAATTTTTAAATGAACACAGTCAGTTAGACCAAACTGTCTGAGAGCTTAATATAAAACCATTCTTTGAACTTTATCTTACACCTTAACTTTTTGGATTAAGATTATTTTTTCACATAAATCAGTAATACTTTAACCACTAAAGGAATGTTATCTAGCTTTTTTAAAATAAAAAAATATTTTGATTTGATCGAAACCAATGTTTAATTTTTCATTATTTACGAATAATTAATTATAATTATTCATTAGTAGTGGTACCGAGACTTGGGCTAGTTTTACTTTAAAAAACAGTTCAATAATCGATCAAAAATTAAATATATTCTGATACTCGGTTTAGTTCAAAAAATAATAAATTTATCTCGATTGATGTAAAAATTGATCCGAGAATGTTCAGTAATTATGAGTAAGTAAAAATAAGAAACAAGAAACAAGAATATTTCTTGATTCACTACACCATCTAATTAAAAAGGGGATACAACAATCCAGTAATTGTTATAAAGGTTTTGATTTAATGAACTAGCTCCAGGTAAAAATTTCTTATTTAGACATCGACTTCAAAATTAACTTAAAATTTACCAAAAAGATTATCATGATATCGTATATCATTATGCTATTGTTTCATGTTTTAACTCATTTTTTGGTTCCTAATGCATTTTCTATTTGCAATTAAATATTTGTGCAGAGGCCTCAACTTTCTGCTTCCGAGGAGTTCGATATTTATGACAGATCTTTTGTTTTGTAATAATATGTAATAACAGATATCCTTTTTTTATATGGCTGAAGCTTGAAGATCATTTTGTGCCTACAGATCAAGTGTAATATACGAGAAAGAAAAGTAGTCATGCATGAAGAAATTATATAATACTCAAGAAATAATTATCGTACACATATACACAATAGTTATTCCTTAAATATTATTATAAAATTTCTCCTTATGCATATATTAAATGCTAAATGAGCCTTTGGAGATTAATCAAAATTTCGCAGATCAATTTTAATTGTCTCCCTTAATATTTTTTGTTTTGTCAATTAAGTCCTTGGAGTTTCATAAATATTTCAACTCTCAAGAGTGTTTTTTGTTTGTTATCAAAGAGAGACTCGAACTCAAGAACTCATATAAAGAGAAAAAATATTGATACTTATTGAAAAAAAGTAATATATATATATATTAATGCAGTATAATGGTGTGAACAAGGTAATTAAAACTATAAAAAATTAAATGTCTAATAAAAAATTAAATCGAAATTATTATTATTATTATTATTATGTAAGTAAGCGATCTTAATAGCACACACCTTAAGATATGCAATGAAGAAATAATGGTTCATAAGATGTGCTTGTCATGCATGTTTCTTTTGGTCCTCCAAATCGAAACTTCTCCCATGCATTAACATATAAATAATATATATATTCCATTCTTAATTAAGAAGTGGTTCAAATGCAAATCCAACATCTAAAAGCATTTTTCTTAATTAATATTCCTTTCTTGTTTTAGATTTTTTTTTCTTCTTTTTTCTTTTCTTTCATCACAAGTTCTTAACATGCTCTGCTCCATTTTCAAGGTGGAGTTGGAATCTCTTCTTTTTCTTTTTGAAAAACTAATAAAAGTGTTGGAATTGAATCTAACAAAGCCAATTCTGATGAAAATAATAAAAATGCATCTGGTTCTCCCTACTTTTAGATGGTGGTTGTCTCGCATAATGAAGAATACCAGACCAAAAGGAAAGACGATTATATATATATATATATACACCAAACCAAAAAGAAAGACGATCATATATATATGCGTGTGGGCTCGCTCGTAAGCACGTATTTTAAAATTGAATGTTTATTTAATATATATAATTATGCATAATATTTTAAATGCATATGAATTGTTTTTTATATTTTATTAATTTAATATTGGTTTGCATGATTTTTTGTGAGTAGATAAATAAATTGTATAGTAGCTTATTTTGAAATAGAAAAAAAAATATGTAAAATTGTGTAACGATTTGTATAGGTTTATATATGAATAAGTGCATACAGAAATATTAATTGCTGCCATGCCTATAAATATTATAATTATAAATAACTAACATGAAATTTTGTATTCTTTTCCATAGTATAATAAAACGGATATAAATTATTATCATATATAGTTGACAGAAAATAATGAGAATTATTGGTTGTCATTTTCAAGCCTCCAAACCAAAATCATAGCCTGGGCCAACCCTGGATGGCTCAAGATGGCTAAAGAAAGGCTAGGTCTCAGGTGGGTCCATCAAAAAACTAGGCCCGTTATTTGTCAAAATCTCTAAGATGCATTTTTTTTTTTTTTTTCCAACAAATAATGGATATCATACAGATAAAAGGACCACATTTTGAGACGAAAATAACGTTTATCTAGAAGGATCAATACAGTATCTATGTCAGAATCAAAACCTTTGAGTATTTCTACCAATAAAATTAATTTAACGTACATAACGAAACTAATCTTAAATCTCTAGATTGAATGAACCTTTTAACTTAACATTTTGCCACTCTATATATATATATAAATTTTTTTTTTTTTTTTTTTGGGTTTTTGTCTTAGTATAAAAAATTCTATTGATTCCATTAAGTATTGTGTCTTTCCATTTGATTCCATTAATTTGAACGTCACGTATCAATCAATCAGTCATTGAACGACCAAAAAAAAAACATTTGAAATTTTAAAAAAGGAAATTTGAGTTGTATTTTATGGGTTAGTTTCTGATAATTTAAGAAAATGCGTTTTCTTTATTTTTTTTTTCTTTTTTTTCCTCACATTATCTGGTCATTTATGGAATAATTGCTTGACATCTAGCAACTCAAACTAATGAAGTTAGATGAAAAGATAGAGTCTTTAACGGGATAATTACGATCAATCATGAGACATGATCGATTGACATATGATACTCAAACTAATGAGTTAGATGTAAAGGCATAATTAGATGATTATGATCAATTAGGAATTGAAAATTGTTATTGGAAGAATCGTAGCTCGAGCTTAGAAAAGAAAATGAGGATGATAGAAATCAAATTGACAATCATTTAATCATTAAGAATCCGATACCATATTAAAAGAACATGTAACCCAAAAGCTTAAACTGTTAGATAAGATCTTAGAATATAATTTATATTATTTCCTAAGAAAATATTCTTCAAAACTTGCCAACAAAGTACAATGACACATTTTAATTTAGCCATAATAATTGGTTGCTTATAATTGAGCATGGCACTTTCATTCTAAAGAATGCATGCATATCCAAATGGCAGTTAAATCTTCTTAATGAAATGACACCCCAGGATCTTGTCCAAAGTTATGGGCTAGCCAGCTGAATTGGCACCAAATTAGATATAAAGAATCTACAGCTACTAAAAGTCCTCATCGAATCCGGTTCTCCAGATACGCAACATGTGAAAAAACATTGCTACATTTGACACGAAAACAATGCCATATCTCTAGACTTAGAACCCTTATAGCTATTGTTGTGTTGTAGTGCAAGCATTCTCTTTTTATAGGCTCTAATTTCAATCCTGAAATCCATATAGTACGCATAAAGAAATGGCAAGAGAAAGATGTAGCTGGTGTGGTGTGGAACTAGTAGTGCCCCCAGATGCTCAAACTATTCGATGTGCTGTGTGTCAAGCCATCACTAGGGTTCACTCCTACGTCGACCCTTTGGCTCAAGCCTGTGATTCAGCTACCAGGTTCACTCCTGGTCTTATTAACATGGTGTCTAGCAACATTCCCACCATTACTAGTTCGGTCAGTGGCTATCCTGTGCCGGGTTATGGTGGTTATTATGCTCCACCACCAGCTAGGCCAGTGTTGCCTCTTCCTTCAGTGCATGGGAGGAAGCGGGCACTGCTTTGTGGAGTCAGTTACAGAGGCAAGAGTTATAGGATCAAAGGAAGTATTAATGATGTCAAGTGCATGAGATATTTTCTTGTCGAGAAGATGGGATTTCCTAATGACTCCATACTCATACTCACAGGTACCTCTTTTACTAAATTGATTGGTAATTAACCATGTTTTGTGTCTATTTTTCATGAATTTCTTCTTAATCTCTTGAGATCATGCAATAGTTAAGTCAATCAATAGGCACAATGATATGGAGATTAGGCGATAAATTATTTGTTTGGGCTAATAATTAATATAAGGTAAATCTACTTCGCAGAAGATGAGATAAACCCATTAAAGATCCCAACAAAAGCGAACATAAGGTTGGCTTTAAGGTGGCTTGTTCAAGGCTGCCAGCCAGGGGACTCGTTAGTGTTTCACTTCTCTGGTCATGGGTCAAAGCAGCTTGACTGTGACATGGATGAGGTTGATGGGTTTGATGAAACATTATGCCCTCTTGACTATGAAACTCAAGGAATGATAATTGATGATGAAATCAATGAGACCATTGTAAGGCCATTACCACAAGGAGCTGCTCTTCATGCCATTATTGATGCCTGCTATAGTCAAACTGTACTTGATCTTCCATTTGTGTGCAAGATGAATAGGTAAAATTAAACCAGTAAAATTTTGCTCTTTTCTGTACTTCAGCAATTTCAGATTCACGAAAAAATCAGTTTTTGTTTTTTTTTTTTTTTTGGCTTCTGATAGGGAAGGATACTATTTATGGGAGGATCAAACTTGTTCACCATATGCTGAAAAAGGCACAAGCGGGGGCTGGCCATATGCATCAGTGCTTGTGATGATAATCAAACTAGTGTGGATACAACCGTGAGCTAATCTCTCTTTTTACTTAAATATTGTCAATTATTCACTCCAAATATATGAATCTTGATTTAAATGATCATTTATGCTACATTCAAACATGGTTGAAGAACTCATTCCATAGATTTAAGTAAAGATGTTGTATAATAATTTTAAAACATCATATTATAGTTTTTCGATATTATAAAAACTCAGATGCTGTTTTATATAAATAATGATAAATAACATTATTATCGTTATATAACGATGTTATATATATATTCCTTACACTTTATAGCTTGACCATTTGATTTTTTATCCTTATTTTTCAGCTTTGTTTTTGTCCTTATTATTCAGTCTTAATTTGGTACAAAAAGAAACACAAAAAAACCTATATTTCAGTCTTTGTATTTTTTATTAATGTATTCACGATATCGATTGATGTCATCGATTTTTTTAATGATGTCTATGATTTAAAATTATGGGTCATCCACGCTCAAACTTATCTATTAATACTATAAGGAGTTTGAACAAATAAAATCATTTTAGTTACCCTTTAGTACTGTAAGTTTCAATTTTGCAGGCATTGGCAGGCAATGCTTCAACTGGTGCCTTGACATATAGCTTCATCCAGGCAGTGCAGAATGAGCCTGGATTAACATATGGACGCTTGATTAATGTTATGCGTCAGGCACTTCGAGGGGCGAAAACTGGTGGATTACGCTTAAGTGGTCCGATTGCATCACTGGTAAATAAAGCTTTGTTTAACACAGAGATCACCCAGGTACGCTAAATCCTGTCAAAAACATTAATTTTGGCCATTCTTTTGAATTGAAATAATCCAAGAAAGTAACAGAACATTAATGCAAAATCCACGATTTTAAGGCACAACCTTAGCTTAGTTTTCTGATAAAAGAAAAACCTTTAGCCCAGTTCTGTTAATTCTTTTTACTTGATAACTGCAGGAGCCTCAGCTGTGTTCGTCGGAGCCGTTTGACGTTTATGCAAAGCAGTTTATGCTGTGAATTGTATTGGGTACAGTTGTTAATAATTCAGTCTTGCGATGAAAATATTGTCCATAAAATGAATGCTTAATTCACCATAATCTGTCTGAAAGCCATATTGTGATAGTCACAGTTTTTTTATGCTGCGGATAGCGAGACAACGAGGATTGTAAATCCCACATCAGTTTGAGCTGCATAGTTTAGATTATTAGATATCATAGAGCATTCCTTCGTGTCTGCATGGTTTGAATTTGTTGTCGTTAACGTAAGTTTAAATGAAATCATTATAACCTTAGATTTGATGTTTTTTATGTTCCTGGTCGACAATATCGTTGTCTACAAAAGTCAAAAAGAGCCCATAAAAATATAAATTAGTCCTTGATTTCCAACAACGGCCATGCATGCTTACTAGAAGATTGGCTTTCTAATTGTGAACATGATGGACTCCGTTTGTCTTTGTATCAGCTAATGGAAAGCAGAAGAAGGATCCTTAAAGAATAGAAGGACGCATCTATTTTAGCCGCCAGCATCCCTTCATGTGCACAATATTCTCCATGGAGTCAAAAAGAGGATACTAACTGATCATAGTCCAGAAATTAATTTAGAAATATGTAGGCGAGCTGTCTTATGTTTATGCATGTGTTTGCTTATGATTAAATCTAAAAGATTGGCGAACATTACAAGAAAATCAGCAATTAACAACGAAATTAGTAATCCGTCATTGTTTCCCAATGTCATAGCCATCGATTAGCAAAGAAACCAAAAATAAATCATATAGCGTACAAATTTGACTAATAGAGATGGCCAAATTTTCCAATGGTGTTTAACAGCTAGCTATTTTGTCCATGGCACAACAAGGATTATAAAATTTTAGTTGATGGAAGCTGGTCTGGCAGTAAATTAGCTGATCTGATTTCTAAATAATGATAATAGAATATTTAGAAGAAAGAAAAATAAATAAAGACTTCTATTAAATTAAAATATACATGTTCTAATACTACAAAGCTTATGCATCTATACAATACTTATTTTATACTAATAAAAATATATATTATATAAAGTAGATTTCAATTGTGAATTAAGAGTTTACGAGAAGCAGTGCACCATCTAGCATAAGAGGCATGGAGGTTAGGCCAGTCAGAAGATAGGCTATATGTGAAGTGGTGTAGCCACAAAGACAAGACCTGCTCCTGCTCTTCTTCATGTTCCAGCATCTCTATCATCTCTTCCAGTATTCTTTCTAGTCGAGCCCTTTCACTCATGCTAAGCACTGGCGCATCGGTGCCATTGCTTGCTCTGCACAGCAATGGCAGCCAGCACATCAGCATCTTCATCTTTGTTTGCCTTTGCTGTTCTCTCTGCCCTTCTTCAGTTTCATCAAGTCCCAATTCTTTTGCTTGTTTAAATAGGAATGCTGAATAGAATTTCAAGCGGTTAATACACTCATCTATACAAAAAAATTGTAAGTAAATGATGTATTTGGTTGGATACAGTGTATCATATAAGATTCAGTACATTTTTATGTTTGATTTTCAATAGATCATTACAGTTGTAATGACTTATTGCATTACAAATGTTACATTAAAAAAGCAATCTAAACTACAGAGTGGAAAAAGCTTTAGTCATGATTTCTATTTCGAATCCTTATTTATAAAAAAACTCTCTGAATAACTATCTCATTTTATACTCTTGACAGAATAACAACAAACTAGTATAAGCTTTTTAGACCTAGATATCTTGAAGAATTCTCGACAGAACAACAAGAACTAGTATTTTAGACCTGGATATCTTGGAGAATTTAAAAAAAAAAAAGGAAAAAAAAAAAGAACCATTACATTATTAAAAATAATTATATAGCAACCTGATTTAAAAAAAAAAAAAAGGTTTGTTTTCTTCGCACAGCTTTCCAAATAATACTATGAGATTTCAAGATCAGTCATTATCAACAGCCTAGAAGTGGCAGCCAGCAGAGCGTTGCTTCATGAAATTAAATTCTTGGAATGGGATCTTGTCCATTTGAAATTTCCCATTTGTTTTTCCTTACGACTATTAATTGAAGTTTAAGTCAATGGCAGATAACCAAATAAGGGAAAATCATCAAACCAACAAAGGATATAATTAATTAAGAAAACAAGCAATCAAAATTGAAAAATTAAGAAGGGCCTTTTGCTTTAGAAACTTTTCTAAGTGTGTATATATTGCTAAATAATAAAAATTAACTATTTAATTTAGATTAGTGATAAAATTAAAGCTCTGATTATGCAACATAGACCCCAATTAATCCTGAAATATTTAATTTACCTGAGACTTTCACCAATGAGACCTGTAGCCGAGCCTCAGCTGAGAGAGCAAGCCAAGCCAAGTTTGAAGCGGAAGCCCACCTCCAAACAGCTTCCTCCCCACATCCACAAGTAACCAATTTCTGACCCAGCCAAAGCAGCTCAGCCGCCAACTTCTCCGATGACCGGTCCACCCCTTCTCTACCTCTACCAGACCGAGACCAACTCCTGTCACCCACAGCCCGAACAGCCTTTAAAACCTGTTTCCACCGACCCTTAACCGGTCCGGTCCTTGAGCTGCCATTTTCAACCCCATCACGCCCTGTTTCCATCATGGCGGCTTCAAGCTGGCTAAGAGTCCTAGAAAAAGCCGCAGATAAAACCCCACGGTTGACCTCTCGCAAGGCCTCAATATTTTCCTTATGGTTATCATCTATAATCTTCTCTGCTAATGATCTAACAATTTCATACTTTCTTGAGCTAACAGGAAGATCATTAACGATTGACAATAGCTGTGTGAGAGCTCTTGCAATACCTGAATCTCCAAAACCTGATGAAGGCGAGCAGTTTTCGCCTTTGGGTTGCTTAAGAGGATGGTACTGAATATTATTGGTATCATTGTGATCTTGGTCATGCCTAGGGTTTAAACAAGGGAATAAAGAAGGAAGTAAACGTAGAAAGAAGAGAAAAGAAGTGACAAGAAGATAACGAATATGTTCAAGAAGTTTATATTTTTGTGATAAGGTAACAAGGGATTTATCAGCAAAGATAAACATGGTGGTTGCTATGTTTCTTAATAGCAAAGGAGCTATGGTGATGGGAGAGGTTTCCATCATGCCCATGTTTTGATCGCGTATGCTTTTTGGGTTTCTCTGTCTGGTTATAACACTTATCTGAGGTGAAGACAAACCATGTGGTTGTGGTTTAAAGAATACAAGAAAAATAAGTACAAGGGATCGATATGGATGGTTTTGTTTGAATCGGTACCCAAAGGTGGGCGATGAAGAGATTATAGTTGTACGTGATGATTTAATTAAGACATGGTCAACTCTTGGAACGTGTGGTGATTGGGAACCACTTGTATTTCATCGGATTTTTTTAGCTTAGTTGTCTTCAACAAATAGATTAAATACTTCAATAATCTATCTTCTTACGTTTTTAATTTATCTTTACATCGATCTATAATTATATTTATTATGTTTTTAAATAATATTTACCTTTTCAATCTATTTTTTTAATTGATTTTTTCAACTATAAATAAATTTTTTAACTCAAATATTCTTGACTAGATTTAAAAAAAAAAAAAAAACTACTTAAAATTATGTAATATACATGTTTTGTTTTTAAAATTTTTATTTTTATTTAATTTTTTCATTTCAGTCAAATGTATTTTGACCAAAAAAAAATTACTTATAGTCATAAAAATTGATTAAAACCATAGATTAAAAACTTAAAATCATTCGGAGATATAATAAATATAATTAAAATATTAATACAAATTGAAAACTACTAATTATATAAAACAATTTGAAGAGACACTATAAATTTAGTATTCCTTTTACTTTAGACTATCACTTATAATCACTATTTGACAAAAAAAAAAAAAAAATCACTTTGGTTGTTATTTTTTAAAACACTTCTTTTCTACTAAGAAGTTTATTTTTATTTCATTTTAGCTACTGCATGTTAAGAGGAGAGAGAGAATGAAGGAGGGAAGAGAGGGACAACGAGATCTATTTTAGCCACTTTGATTGTCAAATTTCTTATCAATTTGTTTGTCTTGAAAAATATAATCTGTATGTTGTGGTCACAAATAATAAAATAGTTAGAGAAGGTAAATCAAAATCTGAAAATATTTTGAGTTTTTTTTATTTGAATTTTTATGCATTTTGTGTGCATTAAAAAAGGTTTCGAGATTTTAAATTTTTTTTACGTTATTTCTCTTTTTTATATTTTTTTATATATATTCTAAAATGTCATTCTGAACAATTTTTTTACTATAAATAAACAAAAATGTCATTGACTAAAAAAAAAAAACCATTTACAATCACATGACCTATATATTTTATTTTTAATTTTTTTAAAAAAATTGATATTTCATTGAGAAATATTTTGATAAAAAAAAAATCGTTTGTGATGGTAAAAATTACTCGAAAAAACAAATTGAAAACCTAAAAATGAAGAAAAAGGCAGAAAAGCAACTGATGACAGCTCTCAAAGATTCAATCTGAATAAGTGCTATAAATGCGATGACAGCTCTCAAAGCCACAATCTGAACAAGTGCTATAAATGTGGCAAAATCGGGCATATCAAGAAAAATTGTAAAATGAAGCTTTAAAAAGTAATTGTCGCAAGTGAAAATGAAGCTTTAAAAACTTAGATGGGATCAATGTTTCACCACAAAAGCTGTTGAAACAAGAAACGATGTTGCTGAATCAATACCAGCTTAAGCTCTTTTATCATTGCCCAAATAAAACATGATAATAATAATTAGATTGGAAAAATGCTGAAAAAGAACAAAACTGTAGTTAGGATATTGTCATTTTCGAAACGAATATGATGCCAACCTTTTGAAAAAAAGATTTTGATGCTTGCTTTCCTTTCCCTGCCCGAACTTTAATTGGAAAGGACAGAGAGGGAAAAGGCCCATACGGGGTGATTGAATATTCAGTGTTTCTGGAGCACTCTAATCATACGAAGGAAACAGTTCAAAGCTTGCGCAAGTGGTAGTGATTTTGATGTCATCTATCCTTCGTTCACTTGGGCTGGGCTTTTTAGAAGGCTATTTGTTGTGGTTGAGATGGAGCCCATGCGGTTCTCATAAGGACAAAAGGTCATTCTGAACAATTTTTCGATTAAAAAAAATAAAAAAAACATTTACTGTATATTTTATTTTTAATTTTTTTAAAAAAATTAATATTTCATTCAGAAATATTTTGATCGAAAAAATTGTTTGTGATAGCAAAAATTACTTGAAAAAACAGAATGAAAAGTTAAAATGGTCACAATTTTGAGACTCAGGATAAATGTAAAAAACTAGTTTTTTATCAACAATTTCTACTCCAATATCATCTTCAGCATGTTGAAACAGTAGGTAACAGCTCCTTTTCTTTTCTACTCCACTTAAATTGATATTTGTAGTATTTGAGGAACTAAAAATCTAAAAATAACACTAGATCGGAGATTATAAGATAAAAAGTTAGTTACGTTTTTTTAAAAACATCAATGACCCACAAGCGCCCTTTTCTAAAAAAGACAACACGTCTAGTTTAGTCTTAAAATTCATCTCCTAAAACATATTTAAAACTTAAAATAGTCGACTCGGGATAAATGTAAAAAAACTATTATCAACAATTTCTACTCCAATATCATCTTCAGCCTGTTGAAACAATATATAACAGCTCCTTTTCTTTTTTACAAGCAATGGGATATGCTCAAAAGTCAAAACTAGCCATGTCAATCACACCAGGACCGGATCAACCAAGGTCTACCATGTTTTTTTTCTGGATAGAAATTCCCCACCTGGTAGCCCATACCAATCAGGAATACACAAGCTACTCAAAAATAGGATTTGAACCAGAGCCCTTTTTATCCTTGTTCAAGTCTTAGCCATCTGTGCAAAATATAATTGCTTTTGTTACACAAAAGAAGCAAACTAGTTTCATTCATTCTGTTTTAATGAAATGTTCGTCCTTTGTTCTTGTCACTGATGGCATCTGTCAAAGATCCTGGAGATGGGGATGAAGCTGAATCAATAAGGAATGATTTTAAGTGTTTAGCAAACTCCTTGGCCTTTTCTAAGTTAACTGCATGTCCTGCATTCTTAATGATCACTAACCGAGAAGTTTCTCCCACATGCCTATAACAAAGCAGTATAAGAATGTAAACTGTCAGGAAACAGTTGATTACAGGAAAAAAAATTACTAAGATGTTTCAGAAATTCGAATGTCAGAATCTAAAAAGAGTTCTAATCTAACCTATGCAATCTGTGCCCCAGTTCCAATGGGAAAATTTGATCTTTCTCTCCCCATATTATCAATGTTGGCTGCTTTGCAAGGAAAAAAAAAAAACAGGAATCTATCATAAACTGACTGCTTTTCAAAGATTCGTGTCAGAGGCCATAAATTGGCACAAAATCAAGAGATTTGAACCATATGGGTCGAGAATGGTAAGGAACCTGTGTGATTTTTGGTAGAACAGAAAGATTTCGACAATGAAGTATGGCCTGGATCAATTCCTTCTTCTCCTTAACATAATCTGTACACATAACCTGTCAGAACAGAAACATTATGGATTGTAAACGGAGAGATTATCATCAATATATCAAAGAGTATAATTTTGTGCACATTGAAAAATTCAATCAAATTCAATCATCCTGCAAAAGTCAGAAAACTTACATCAATGAAATCTGTTAGGAAGAAAGAGGGCACACCCACGGCAGGTTTGACGAACGAAAACCGCATCAACTCTCTCAATTTCTCTGCCGTCTGTGGCAACAAAATGCTGGCTGCTTCATCCAGATTTGGAACAACAAACAAACCGGTGTCCATATCCTTCTCTTCCAAGCAAACCCCGGCACAACACAGCACAATTCTTTCTATTTTCTCTTGAAACTGGGCTGCCATACTATACCCCACAAATCCTCCATAGCTGATCCCAACAAGATTCATTCTGTGCACCCCATGTGCCTCCATTAGCCTCATGACGCATTGAGCCTGGAAAGAATCGGTTCTTTCAGGCCTAGATGTGTAGGACTCACCAAAGAAGAGAAGGTCCGGAACGTAGACATTGAAACGTGAGGTGAAGATATGGAGATGCTGACCATATTGCCACATTGCATTGGCTCCAAAGCCATGGAGAAGCAGAAGATTGGGTTTTGATGGTTTCCTGATTCTTGGTACCCAACAATGCATAATGGTTCCATCTCCAAGATTAGACGAGAGGGCACGAAGACCGGCCTTGGCGAATGAGTAGCGGTAGAACCAATCCCGGTATGCTGTAAAGCTGAAACATCTTGCCATCTTAAGAAATTATATCATTCTTTTTAGATGAAAATCAGAATTTACGGTTCTTGAATTCCTGGCTTTTTATCACAGAAATCTACAAAGAATTTGCCATATCTCTGCTGAAATTCTAGCCTCAAGGTATACCTAAAGTTGGATTTCAAAAACAGGACTGAAATGTGGAACAAGGAGACCATAAAAGAAGTAGCATGGATTTCGCTAATACAGATATAATCGGAAAGGAAAATGACTCCTCCCTACAATTCGGAACTCTCTTTCTTTAATTTGTGGTCCAATACTTGTTTTCATGAAAAGCAGTTTAAAGCATCCGTTTAGGGCAGTACCATTTCTTTCAAGCTCTTTTGATCTTACGTTGTCATATCTCTTTATCCTTTTTGTTTTTATTTTTTTCTTTCTCAAATTTTCAATTATTTGGATAAATAGACATCCTATTATTGAAGCAGCCTCCAATTTCAATTACAGGGATCTTGCTTATGGTTTAACATGCCACTATCGGATATTTGCGGGACTTCTAAATTTTTTAACTAAAAGAAAAAAACTAAGAATCTTTTGGAGTCATCATTTAATATTGAAAAAAAAATGTAATAAAAATATTGGATTCAAAGATTTTGAGTAAAAAGGATTATGTCTTTTGAAAAGATAACAATCATCCAAAAATGTTGCCACCCGAAATCGGACTAGACTCCCAAAAATTTAAGATTTTATGTATTTTTTTTAATTCTAGGGACATGATTTATTATTGATTTTAAGATTTGTCACCTAATATTGTAGCAACTACGACTCTAAAAATTGCACTCGACCGGAGATTACGGGAAAAGGAGTTGGTTACGCATTTAAAAAGATATCGATCATTCACAAGCGTCCTTTCTTAAAATAGGTATCATGTCTAGTTTAGTTTTCAAAATTAATTTCCTAAAATATTTTATTTATATTAAATTATTTTCGACTTAAACTTCAAGTTTTTTCCAAAACCAAATTAAGTTTTTTTATTTTTTATTGTGACATCGTATTAAACCAATCGTAGATACGAGTAGTTCAAACATCGAATTCACTTTAAGTCTTGATATAAACAATATGTCGAAGAATTACCGAATTACTAAAGTGATTTTTTTTTTTTTTTTTTTGCTAACAACAATCTCTATCATATATAAGACTTTGTTAATTTTTCTTAGTATTTCTTTTCTTTTCTTTTTTTTACTTAATCATTTTCTCCTTCTTTTTTCCTTCTCTCTTTTTCTTTTTTTTTTTCTTTTCCTAACATTTCATCTTCTTCTTCTTTTTCTTTTTGTAATATTTTCTTTCTATTATCCTAATGTTTCTTTTTTTATTCATTTTTTTTATCAATAGGAAGATTGGACAATTCATCCACCTATTAATTACATAACCTAATTATTGAAATAAATTCTAAAATTAACATTAATTAAATAAATTCAAGAAATTTAAAATACTAAATCTAAATTAAGCGTAAAATAATAATAAAAAAAAACATGCACACATAAAAATAAACATGTAATAGAAACAAACCAAATGGTCATTAAAGACGGACCAAAATGTCCCTACAATGCTATGAAAAATGACCAAAATACCCCTATGAACAAAATTATTTAAATGCCCCTAGAAGCCAAACAGTCACTATCAAGTGTCCGTTCACCTTCCGACCACCCTTTATGTGTGTGAAACACCCCGTGCAATTGAGAAGAAATTGAAAAGTTAATACAATTGATTCAATTATTTATGCACTTTTAGTGGTTCATAATATCTTTCAATTCTCTTCCTAATCTTAAAGCTTCTAAATAGTTTGATTATTTATTATTTTATATAGATGTGTTTTGTAGAGATTATGAGAATTATTTAGAATTCTTATCATTTGTATTCACTTTATTTTATAATGAATTCATTTTCTTATAATCTTTTTTTTTAATTTAATTCTATTATTATTATAATTTCTTTTATAATAATAATTAGTTTTTAAAACGAACTAATTAATTCATTCGTTTCAACATAGGAGAACAAATAATTTATAAATTATTCTCTCTTTTTTTTTTTTTATCAAATTGCATTCTAAAAAAATAGTTTCGCTCTCAAAGTTATAATTCTAATGAATGTATGAATTCGTATTTATATGATCTAATTAAAAATTAAAAATTCTATTAACAAGAAATCTAGCATTGATAAGTAAAAGTTGGATTGGGAATATTTTCCCAATTCAAAGACAGAAAAAAAAAGACAATATTTAGTGTGAAAAAAAATAATAATATATAAAGAGACAAATAACGTAAATGGATAATTTAATTAATAAATTAAACTGCATCATTGCTTTCATAATATGATGCATTTGTATAAAGAAGAAAGAGTTAATCTCTCAATCTATCGTTATGAAATAGGATATAATAGAATATAAAAGGTAATTTTTTTGATTTTTTTTATATTTTTTATTGAATTAATTTTATATTTAAATATTCATTAAATTTGTATTTAATTATTTTAACAAAATTTTTAAGCTAAATTATATGAGATAGTAATGTAATTTGCATATAAAATATTTTTATTTGTCTGGTTTGTAAGAAAAAAAATAAAAAATAATAATTTTATAAATTACTTTATTAATTTTTGTGTTTTGACTTTTTTAAAAATAAAATTAATTTAATTAAAAATATAAAAATAGATTAAAAAATTACGTTATTATTATATATAAGTAGAGACCGGAACATTAAAGCATGAACAAAATGTAAAACAGACAGTTGTGTCGAACAGAAGCAGACATAACGACTTTTCTAACAAACACCGTTAAAATATCCAAAAAAAGCACTTCACCATCACCATCGCCATCGTCGTCGTCAAAATCTCTCCTTGATCATTCCTTCAGGTAATGAAGTTTCATTCTCTGTGGTCATCACTACCTGTATAATAGATGCTTTTGATATTAATCAAATCTTTTTTAATGAATTTTACTTGATTTCACTAGACTTTCGCTCATTCTTTTATTTCAATTACTTGAGGGGAATCTGTATCTGGGTTTTGTGTGTTTGCTTGTGGGATAGATTTTATGTGGGTTAATAATGTTTGGTTTTGGCACTGAAATGATTTGATTTATGATCTTAAAGGATAGATATCATCTGGGTTCGGGTTAGTTTTTCTTTCTTTGTTTCAAGGAAGTAGTAAAATTTGATATTTTTTTTTTTTTGTTATCAATGGGTTCTTTCATTCTTGTTCAATCAAATCAATTGTAATGAAGTAGCCTCTTGTTCTTTTCTTTTGGCCTTTTGGATTGCTTAAATCTTTGTCCTTTTCTTTTCCTGCTACATCGATTAATTGAGCTTCAATCATTATTTGGATTCATAATACAATTTTGTCTGTGTTATGACTTCTGAGATGTTATGTGTGGATTTTTTAAACTTTCATGGGAAAGAACAAAATGGTTTGTGTTTGAATATTCCTGTTTACTATATTTGAATGTTTTATGTTTGTTCTGTTTTTGATTTCAGGTTGTTGCTAATGTTCCTTTGTTGAGGCAAGAAGCAAATCTGGTTTCCATGGATGATTTACCAGATCAATTGGTGTGGGATATCTTGAGCAGGGTCAAGAAAACTGTAGATAAAAACTCTGCTTCATTAGCATGTAAACGCATCTATGAACTGGATAATGAACAAAGACAATCTCTTAGGGTTGGTTGTGGATTAGACCCTGCAAATCAAGCTCTGACATCACTCTGCAATAGATTTCCTAACCTGGTAAAAGTAGAAATAACATACGCTGGTTGGATGTCTAAGTTGGGAAAGCAGTTAGATGACCAAGGGCTTGTCATTCTTGCTAGCAATTGTCCTTCGCTGACTGATCTGACATTGAGCTATTGCACATTTATAACAGATGTTGGTCTTCGGCACTTGGCTTCTTGCTCCAAGCTTTCATCCTTGAAGCTGAATTTCACTCCAAGAATAACTGGTTGTGGCATATTATCTCTTGTTGTAGGCTGCAAAAATCTTACCATTCTCCACCTTATTCGATGTCTTAATGTTACCAGTGTTGAATGGCTGGAATACATTGGAAAGATGGAGACACTTGAAGACCTCTCGATTAAGAATTGTAGAGCACTTGGTGAGGGTGATTTGATTAAGCTAGGATCTAGCTGGCGAAAACTAAAAAGGTTGCAATTTGAGGTGGATGCTAATTACAGATATATGAAGGTTTATGATAGACTAGCTGTTGATCGATGGCAAAAGCAGTGGATCCCATGTGAGTCCATGTTGGAACTTAGCCTGGTGAATTGTATCATCAGCCCTGGGAGAGGGCTTGCTTGTATGTTGGGGAAGTGCAAGAACCTGGAGAAGATTCATTTGGACATGTGTGTTGGAGTAAGAGATTGTGACATTATAGGCTTAGCAAAAAAATCAAGTAATCTTCGGTCGGTTTCCCTCCAAGTTCCTTCTGATTTCTCCCTGCCACCTCTGATGAACAATCCACTGAGATTAACAGATGAAAGTCTTAAAGCGCTGGCTCAGAACTGTTCATTGCTTGAATCTGTCCGGATATCTTTTTCTGATGGGGAATTTCCTTCCTTTTCTTCATTTACACAAAATGGAATCCTCAATTTAATTCAGAGGTGCCCAATTCGGGAACTTGCTCTTGACCATGTGTATTCCTTCAACGATGTTGGGATGGAAGCTCTTTGTTCAGCTCAAAATCTTGAAACCTTAGAGCTTGTCAGATGCCAAGAAATCAGCGATGAGGGGCTACAGCTTGTGAGCCAGTTTCCTCGTTTGTGCACATTACGATTAAAAAAATGTTTGGGGGTTAGCGATGACGGATTGAACCCTGTTGTAGGGACATACAAATTGGAATTCTTAGCTGTTGAAGATTGCCCTCAAATTTCTGAAAGAGGAGTTCTAGGAGCTGCAAGATCTGTGTCATTCCGGCAAGACTTGTCATGGATGTATTGAACTTGTATTGGACTCAAAAAAGAAAGAGCGCTCATTTATGCGGTCTTCAATGCATTTCTGTAAGCAACCATTGTTTACAATTAGATCAAAATCCTGTTTTCAGGATCTGTAGCTTGTTGTATGATTGTTACTTCTAGCAGTTGGATTATTTGGTTGTGATTATAAAATATGTAATACTGTAATTAATCACCAATTTCTTGATAAATAGTATCATATTCCTTGTGGATTTATTATGAATTAGCATTCTGTAACTTAGATTTACATTCATTTTGTGATTTTTATCAGCAGAAAGCTTGAGAACCATTATTGCAAGCATACACTTTTTGAATTGATAGAACATATAAGCAGAACTGCTCAGCAGGGAATTCCTAAACTAACGAAATGGCTGATTAAAATTTTTATCTATATTTCCACAGCCATAATGCAGGGCTTCTGTCTCCATGGTTATTCAAGGACCTGCGGTTTCAAAAAAGTGTAGTTTCCCGAAAATTTTCTTCCTTGGCAGTGCTGAATGATCTGGACATGATTTTTATTAGTGAGGACATGATCAACGCCAGTCTTTGAACACAAAGAAGATCCAATCAAACACTCAAACCAACAATGTACATAGATCAATGATATACAAGTGGACAAGACTAGATTACAAACTATACAAGAGAGAGGGGGACTTTGAAGAAATATTATGAGTGAAAACAAATTTGCAATTCTGAAGTAGTGATGAAGAAAAGCATTTTTTTGTAGCTGCATTACGCCATTTCAGCGGCACTTTCTACCACGTTTTCTCTATATGTTGGCATTTTGCCAATCGACACTGCTACTGTTGAGAGGACGCATATCCAGAAATGGGCAGTCAACAACTCGGACATCCTTCAGGGATTCTGCGCCAATGTAATCAACTTCCCAAATGGGCTTACGTAGGCCCATGTAGAGACTGGGCCAATGTAATCAAGAACGTAATTAGTGTAAGAGTCCAAGAAATCACCCAAGATCAAAGCTCTTACCATTTGGAAAGATATCCTACAATATCAAATTGAAGATAAATCATCACAAGATTAGGGATTCTGCGCAATCGCATCTTCAATCAATAATAGCTTACTGTAATTAGCTTTCTAATTACCTTTGTAAATAAAAAATTGCATGCAATTTTTATCAAATCTCTTTATATATCAATCAAATATGGTACGTAGTTTCCAAAATTTATTTCTTCAATATCAAATCAAGAGGTTAGATTAAGTAAAAATCCTGGTCAATAAATCATAAATTAATGAAAATTATTAAACTTACTTGGGAAATATCAAACTTAAAATGGTAAACGTTTATAAGATTTAATTGGCTGTGTATCACAATACTTCATTTTTCCCATTTGATACAAAAATACGTTCAAATTATATGAATATCATTCTTCATTTGCCACCAAAACATCACTTAATTACGCCTTAATTGTTGCTGTTTTAATCATGTTACCAAATAATTCTTGATACTAAAAAATTAAAATATTTCCTTCTTAACTAATCAGCATAAGATTTCTCTCATCCCTGCTACATATATATATATATATATATATATATATACACACACACACACACACAAATCCCACAAGCCTAACGTCTCACAAAAGCTAGCTAGAGTACATTTGCTATTTGCTTGATTCTTGGAATGAAAATGGCCTTCATCATATTCCTCGCTTTCTCTCTTTTCCTCCATGGAGCTCTTGGTAAATACACGATGATGTTCGTTAAATCCATGGATTTGAATAAAATAATGAAATATATACGTGCATTTTATTCAATTCTGTTGATCTGATAGAAATGTTGTATGCTATTACTGAATTTTTCGTTTTTGGTGAACTTTCTTACTTATTAGGTGAGCTTATATGCGAGCAGTTGCCGGTGGATCTCTGCGCATACTCAGTTGCAACTTCTGGGCAGCGATGCTTGCTAGAGAACTATGTAGCGAAAGATGGAACTGTTAAGTACGAATGCAAGACATCAGAAGTTGTTGTAGATAGCTTGAACGAATGGATTGAGACTGATGAATGTGTTAACTCATGTGGTCTCCGTAGAGAAACTGTCGGTATTTCATCAGACAATCTCCTTCAGCCTCAGTTTTTGGCTAAACTTTGCTCAGACGCATGCTATCAAGTTTGCCCTAACATTGTTGATCTCTACTCCAATTTGGCCTTGGGAGAAGGTACGTACACATTTACGGTTCTTTATCTGCTATAAATATCCCATGCATATTTTTCATTTTTCACGTGACTATATATCTGCAATCCTGACTTTTGCAGGAACTTATCTGCCGAAGTTGTGTGCCAATCCTTGCCTTGCCAAGCACCAGGCTAGAAGTAATGGTGTTGCAGCTTCTTCACCTGCCTCCAGTACTACATTAGCCCAAGCACCTGAAGCAGCCATTTTTGGGCAGTGCTGATGTTGCTTCTGTTCTATCTTTTAATTGTTTGATTCTGTAATATTGAATTTGCTTGGAGCAATTCACATGAAATTCATCCTTTAGGGCATATATCTTTGTTGAGATGTTTATTGAAGCTTTTCAATGAAAAACTGTTTACGCTAGACTTCCCGTTACCTTTTCTGCGATAAATATCCACTTTTTCGGTTCATTTCCAGGTCTTCTTTATGATTTGGCCATGATTGTAAACTTTTTTCTACTCATTATTCCATCAATTTATGTTGGATTCGCTGTTGATTGGCCATCTGGACCTAGTGATTTCTTCATCTTGCAAATGAAGGGTTTAATCCATTTTTGGGAGCCTAGAAATGTCATATTTGAAGAGTATTTCAACCGGGATATATATAATTAATCGTTAGGGGCTGATAGAAATCATTAATGTGCGATATATTTTTTGTTACCGTGAAATCCTGTTCGCTGTCCAGGATTGACAAAATCATTTTACTTCAATTGACTAGAAATATTAATAGAGAAAAAGGATTTTTTAATGTCCAATCTTTCAATTTTTTTCTGTTTTAGTTCTCAATCGTTAATTTTTTATAATTGACTACTTAAGTTTTAATTTTTTATTTGCTTTGGTGTCTAAGTTCATCTGAATCCTAATTTTACTTATGTATCCAACAAAACCTATCACGTTGCAGTCAAAAAATGTCACATGATAGTCGACCTTGTCACATGATAATCAATCTCTGTCACGTCAGCATCTCATACTTTTATTTAGCTATAAACACTCAAATAAATAAAAAATATATCAAAAGTTAGATGTTAAAATAGAAAAAAATAAAAGATTGGATATCAAAACAAGTTGGTGAACTCAAGCAAAATCATGAGAGTATGAGGTGCTGACATAATAGAATTGACTACCACATGACAGGATTAACCGTCACATGGCATTTTTTGATTGTCACGTGATAGGTCTTGTCGGATATGTCAGTAAAATCAAGATTTAGGTGAACTCAAGCATCAAAACTATAAAAAATAAACAATTGGCACCAAAACAGAAAAAATTGAAAGAGTTGGCAAAAAAAAATCTTTTTCTCAATAATAATATCTTGGACAGGATTTCATGTTGGCCAATACTGAAAAACTGAGTAGCTTTTAGTAAATATGGCACAAATTAATAAGATTAATTGATTTTTCTTTTTTTAAAAAAAAAAAAAGAAAGATTTTTCTTTTGGAAAATGATTCCTTCATATAATAAACTCAGGTCAATAACAATGAGCTTAATCATCGTTCGCGGACACCACCATCTAGAATAGTCCAAGGAAAGGAATTGTCACTGGCAAATTTTTCTGCTCTTTTTTTCGTAGTTTCCAACAGCTAAGAAACTCAAATCGAACTCTTCAACAAAACCAGAGGGTGGGATCCAGCGCCTTTTTTTCCTTGCTTCCGACATACATTCAATTTTTGGGGCAGAGGACCCCCTCTATAGCAAACCTCACGCATTAAAGGAAAATGGGACAATTTAGATTTCTAAAAGAAACATTTTTTTCATGTGCCAGCAATTCAACAGATTCCAAGATTTGAAGATAGATAATTGTGAAGAATGGTTTTCAAATTTGCTAGCTTTTTCCTCTCATATCTCTATTAATCCCTAAGAAAAAAATTCGATAATTTTCTCAACTTCTTTCAAATCGAATCGATTCATTATTCTATTCTTCCTCAATTATTGCTCACAAAAAAAATCAAATCATTCCGTCACCACCACCACCCCACAAGAAAACATTTTTCCAAAACCCTCCTATTTAAACCCTACGATCAGCTAATTGATTCAAATTAAGGGAAAAGAAAGAGTAATAAACAATGGGTTCTCTCCAGAACTTGCTCAACAGTCCGATCTCAATGCCCTTTTCTGCAAAGCTTAATCAACGCCGTCCATTTCTTCTACGAGCATGCCTTAACTTGGACGTACATGCACCTACAGATTCAGTGAAATCGAAAACCCATTTGAAGAGTGATGAGGTTATGCAGATGGAAGGGAAGGTGTTAGTAGGGACATATGCAAGAAACCCAGTTGTGATTTCCAGTGGGAAAGGTTGTAAATTGTATGATCCTGAAGGACGAGAGTATTTGGATTGTACTTCTGGAATTGCCGTTAATGCTCTTGGTCATGGAGATCCTGATTGGGTCAAAGCTGTTGTTGACCAAGCTAATTTGCTCACACATGTCAGTAATGTTTTCTATTCAGTCCCTCAGGTAATGTTTTTTTTTCCTTCTAATTCTTCAAATTTGATGGTTTTATGATATGTTAAATTTTACTTGTATTAGTCCGCACGAATGATTGCCCAAACTAGACCAAGTTTGCATATAATCTTGAAATGAAATTGCAAGAATATGTTTGTGTCTCATTGGTAATTGATATGAATTAGGAACATATGTTTTGTGACTTTGATGTTGCCTTATGGTAAGTTTTTGCTTCATAGTTTTGTTTCTCTCTCTATTTTAGAACTGGTTTATTGGATGAAATTACCTACATCTTGTAGGTAGAGCTTGCTAAACGTCTTGTGGCTCGTTCTTTTGCCGATCGTGTGTTTTTCTCAAATTCTGGCACGGAAGCAAATGAAGCTGCTATAAAGTTTGCACGGAAGTATCAGCTATTTACACATCATGATGAGAAAGAGCCTGCGACAGAGTTTATTTCATTCAGTAATAGCTTCCATGGGAGGACAATGGGAGCTCTTGCTTTGACAAGCAAAGAGCACTATCGTTTGCCTTTTGAGCCTGTCATGCCTGGAGTTGATTTCCTGGAATATGGTAATATACAGGCTGCAACAGAATTGATTAAATCTGGGAGGATTGCTGCTGTATTTGTAGAACCTATACAGGGTGAAGGTGGCATTTATAGTGCAACTAAGGAATTCTTACTATCCTTGCGTAGTGCTTGTGATGAGGTTGGGTCTCTCCTGGTTTTTGATGAGGTAAACTGCTTTTCATTTTGAAATTGTCTTTTCTGATGAATTATGGATGCAAGAGAATTAATTTATCTGATGCCTATGAACTATGAAATAGCATCTGTTTTGGAGTAAGGGTAATGGAACTCTTCGCAGGCCTGTCACCGATGCTTCAAGTTATGTATTTGATTGGGTAGTTAATACATGTTTTGGTATATCCCATCTTCAACTTCTCTCCCCATGACCCCCCAACCCCCAAACCAAAAATGCTAGACCTAAATCATAGAAGAGTGTCCAGATAACAAGTTGTAGACATGTTTTGACGAAGTAGCATCCCCAGGATAGACCACCATAAGTGCAATTTTGATGAAAGTTCTTTTTGGTTTTTTCAATTGAGATAACATTTTTCAGAATTAGGCAGACACTAGCAACCTGTTAAAAGGGAAAGGGGGAAATGGGATTATAGTCTTCCGTCTTCGTTGCGATAGCTTTGGTGTGGAATTGCTTCATATCATGTTTAGCACTGTATGGTGTTCTGATATTTGCTATAGTGATCACGGTTCAACTGAGAAGCATTCGTAAAACTTCTATTCTCAGGTCCAATGTGGCTTGGGTCGAACTGGTTATCTTTGGGCGCATGAGGCATATGGTGTGTTCCCGGATATAATGACACTTGCCAAGCCTCTCGCTGGAGGTCTTCCTATAGGAGCTACATTAGTGAGTGAAAAAGTTGCAGCTGCCATAAGATATGGAGATCATGGGAGCACTTTTGCCGGTGGAGCTCTTGTCTGTAACGCGGCCATTGCTGTTCTAGATAAAATATCAAAGCCAGGTTTCTTGGCCAGCGTGTCTAAGAAAGGTCAGTACTTCAAAGAACTTCTAATGCACAAGCTAGGGGAAAATTCACATGTGAGAGAAGTACGAGGTATGGGACTTATAATTGGGATAGAGCTGGATGTATCCGCTTCACCCCTTGTCGATGCCTGCCGAAATTCTGGTCTTCTAATATTAACTGCCGGAAAAGGGAACGTGGTTAGGCTGGTACCTCCGTTGATCATCTCAGAACAAGAGCTGGAGCGTGCAGCTGAAATTATACTGGAATGCTTTCCTGCACTTGACAAGACTAATTGAAGCAAGGATCAGTCAGGATGTAATTTTATCATAAATTCTGGATACATATAATAATTATGCTAGGTATCTGCAAATCCTGTTATACTTAACAGTGAGATTTAATGCTTTTTGTCTCAAATTTGAATGGAAGAACATACCAAAGACAAAAATCAAACACAGAGGGATGAAACTAATATGAAAAAAAAAAAAAGGGTAGAGGAATGTTATAAAGACAAAATCAAGAATAGAGAGACTTACTCAAACATTGACCATCAGATTTTCATGAGTTAAATTCAATGTTGGTGGAGTGGAAATCTTTATTTATTTATTATTATTATTATTTGGAGGTAGAAAACTCCTAAAATGACTATAGCTTCTGAAGGTTCCACAATTTAAATATTATATAGACAATAGCATTAATAAATGAAGCAATCTCCATGATTTAGCCGTTTGACTGATAAATGAATGTGTTCATGCGTTATCATTTAGGGTTTGGATCTTAATTAGAAGAAACCGCAAGAAAACTAATTTCTTACTTAAGATTTAATGAAAATCAATTTTAATGTTAGTGGTTCGAAAATACCTTTACCCTAGATAAAAAAAAAAAAATTAACAAATGAAGCTCATTGAATAAATGGCAATCAAATTATATATAAATAAGTTTACTATTCATTGCATGATTCTTAGCATTATTTATCCAGATTCACATGCACTATTCACTTAGACTCACATACGCTATTCCTTTCACTATATAGTAGCATTTTTATAGTTTTCAAACATTTTAAAAATGCTTATTATGAAAGTTTTCGTGATATACACTTTGATCTTTTTTAAAAAAATATTATTTTTTTAAGCCATAAATTTTTTTATTTAAACACTTTTTTGTTTCATCTTTATCAATGTGGTCCTTACTTTTTTTTCTTTGATTTTTTTAATTAAAAATTTTAAGGTAAAAAAAAATTTAGAAAGAAACAATTTACAAAATAAGTTTTTAGCTAATGATATTTATTAATAAAAATTTTATGAAAATATAAAAAATAATTAATCAAATAGAAAATTTTAATTAAAAAATAATAAAATTGAAGGAATTTTTATTTAATTTTAATTAAATATATTTTGATAGATAAATAATATAAAAGGAGACATTAAAATAAAATAAGTTTATATATTTTATTCACTGCGGGTGAAAAAAACTATTTTAACTCTCTATTTCAAAAGGGCAGTAATGGAGCATCACCGACCAAAGTCTGGTGGAGATTTGTTGGACTGTAAATGGGCCGAAGAAAACTGGGTTCGAGATGTCAAAGAGAGTCCATCACAAATAAAACCAAGTATGCATGTCTTAGCTTCCAGCAATTTACACGTGGTCAGCTCTAAGCCTCTTAATATTCTTTCCTGCTTTGTAATGCCACACATGGCAGTCCATGGACTAGTGCATGTAGAATCAGCACAGCTGAATCGAGGGAAGGGTTAGAGATCTTCTTTTGCCAAAACTGAATCCCAGTCAAACGTCTAGACGCAGAATTTGTCACAGCTCGAAGGTTTGTTGCTATGGGATTGATTTTTTTTATGCAAGATCGAATCTTTATATATGTTTTTGCTAGAATCATGCAATCTCATAACCTAGTTGCATGAGCCACTGGGTTTTCTTTTTCATTTTGTGATCTTATTAAATTAAAGTTTCAGTTTTTGTTTCTGTTTTTGAATCCAAATGAGAAGAGCTTGGCTAATTTGCATGCTGAACATTTGATCTTATTAAAAGTTTTGACATATTGTTTGCTGCTAAATCCGACCGACTTAAATTTTAGCCTTTTCAGGCACAGAATTGGAAGATTACATTAAAATGACAGAATTCATGTCTTCATTGTTGTGATTCTGATTCAGTAGGTGCAATTTTCAATGGGGTGATTGAGTTGTTTTAATCCATGATTTTCTTTGGGTTAAAGACTTAAAATTGAACCTATTAGGCCTACCATCTCTTTCATTGCCCAAGTTGTTCCAAAATGCAAAAACTGATGCTGCGTTGCCTCCCTGAAAAATGAAATTTGCTCTGTGCACAGGTTATGGATATGGCAGGACAAGAACAGGCCTTGAAAGGTTCAGAACTTTCAAGCTTTGATGCATATTTTGAGAACGTGCAGTCCAGGAAGAAGTTGCCATTCTCTTTGCAGGAGACTTTAACAGCTGCATTTGCGAAGATCCCTGTTTCTTCATTCCCTCTGGTTCCGGGCGGCAAAGGTGAATTTTAACTTTCTTGTTACTTCAGCAGTTAGTCCATGCAATTAGTATAACGAATTATGTATTTCTTAGTTACTTCAAGGTGTTTCACAAACCAATTTTGCAGTCATTGAAATTTTAGCGGACACGTCAGTAACCGATGCTGTTAGAATTTTATCTGAATGCAACATTATGGCTGCTCCTGTGAAAAAAATAGAAGCAGGAGACAGTTTGGACTGGAGAGATAGGTATCTAGGAATCATAGATTACTCAGCGATCGTCCTCTGGGTGTTAGAGAGTGCTTCCATTGCAGCTGTAGCTTTATCAGCTACTTCTGCAGCAGCTGCTGGCATTGGTACTGGAGCAGTTGGTGCTCTTGGAGCAGCAGCATTGGGTGCAGCAGGTCCTGTTGCAGTTGCTGGGCTAACTGCTGCTACAGTAGGCGCTGCTGTAGTCGGTGGGGTTGCTGCCGAAAAAGGAGCTGGAAAAGATGCTTCGACAGCGGCTGACAACTTGGGGCAGGATTTCTACAAAGTTGTTCTTGAAGAAGAACCCTTCAAGTCAACCACTGTAAGTTTAATACCAGAATGTTAGGTTCAGGATACCTTTCATAACTTAAATATACGTTTTGAGGACTACTCTGATAGGGAATAGGAAGAGGCTCTAGTCTTTTCCTAGCGATCTTGGAAAGATCGACTGTACTTTATGCTTTTCTTTTTCCTGTTTGATAACAGGTGGGATCAATTCTTAAATCATACCGCTGGACTCCTGTCCTTCCAGTTGCAACAAACAGTTCAATGTTGAGCGTCTTACTTCTACTCTCAAAATATCGGCTGCGAAATGTACCGGTGATCGAGCCAGGGAAACCCGATATTAAGAACTTCATAACACAATCAGCAGTTATTCAAGGTCTGGAGAGATGCAAGGGAAGAGATTGGTTTGATTGCATTGCTGGACAAACTATTTCAGATGCAGGACTTCCTTTCATGTCTGCTGACGAGGTAAGGATACTCCAGATTAGTTATCTCGTCGCTGACTTCTTAATTTGGATTTCTTCAGGTGTGTTATTCTGTCTTCCTGGCTAGGTTATTAGTGTCCAGAGCAATGAACTGATTCTGGAATCTTTCAAGAAAATGAAAGAGAACAAAATTGGTGGTCTTCCGGTTGTAGAAGGACCAAATAAGAAGATTATTGGAAATCTAAGTATACGGGACATCAAACACTTGCTGCTCGAACCTGAACTTTTCTCCAATTTCAGGTAGTGTAAAACGAATTGAGCATGGATCAGATTAAGTCAGCTTTACCCAAGTTCACATCATTCTTATCTCTTTTCAGGCAGCACAGAGTGGTGGATTTCATGAACACCATCTCAACAACCAAAGAAACCGGAAGAGTCGTCCCGCCGATTACCTGCAAGCCAGACGCAACTCTTGGCAGTTTGATCCATACTCTTGCTTCCAAGTCAGTTCACAGGATTTATGTGGTTAACCAATCTGAAGAAGTTATGGGCGTGATTACCCTTAGAGATGTGATCTCATGTTTCGTACATGAGCCCCCGAACCATTTCAATAACCACTTTTCATTATCAACAAAAGATTATGTTGAATAAATGATGATTCTGCCAAAAACATTTACAACTTAAAGAGATGAAAAATTGGAACTAATAGAGTCAAGAAAAGAGTAAAGAGCGGCAAAGGCCTTTTCGTCGATTAGTATCAGCATAATTGGAGTTCTTGTTTTATTTAACTCTAATTGAAGTCGTTTTTCATTTACAACTTCTTGTTATCTACTTGTACCTCCTAATAATAGTAGAAAACACTCTTAAGACATACGGTAGCAGAAAAGCAATAAAAATATACTCCCATCTGACTGCTCCTGGAGGATGCACAGCAGCAATTGAAGAACCATAAGTGAAATTCGTCGAATATATAGCAAGTATAATCTCAGTTTGAAAAGGGCTGTCTAGCAGCAAGAAAAGTATGGTATTGGTAGCTGCAGAAAAGGCCAGAGTGTTGGCAAAGATGAACAAGGCGTAGGCAGCCTCACTAGAAGCTAATATGGCCTTCCCTGCATGCCTAATAATGGTACAATTATTAGCAGCTGTAACAACAGTACAGTTTTCTGGAGAATACCTGTCTTCTTGCCAGACCCCACCTGGAGGATTTATTCCTGCTTGAAAGGTCAGGGCTGCGATCAGGGTCGTCACCACCAGAAGAGTATTTCGAGCATCACTTGGAGGGTCTCGTCCAAGCTTAAACCGGAAGAATTCGTCGAAGTTCTTTGATGGATTCTCAGGTATGTGGAGCTGATCAGCAGCCATAATTTGGCAGAGACTTGAAGGATGAGTGTACTGGCTTGATCAGCTGGCTATAAATAGAAATAAAAGGAGTGGCTTGTGATACGATTGTCCTGACAAATGTGGCAATGAGACAGCTCCGTCGGAGAGTGAAAATGTGGTGGATGTTGAAAATGGATGGCCAGGTGTGTCCGTAGCCACAAATTTTCCAAGATTTTCAAATCCTCTATTGTGACAGACAGAGGAAGAATGATCTTAGCAAACAAGAACACGGAAACGAAAGAAGAAAAATCTTTAATAGTTCGCCACCCTTTTAATGCATAAATTCCACTAATACTAATCTTTTTTTTTTTTCCTGAACAAAAAAAAAAAAAAAAAAAAAACCAGTCAAGCAATGCTTTTATTTCTTTGTTACATGGGCCAACCAAACTCCATTTTTTTCTTTTAAATCCTGACTTAGGATTCACAAAAACATATATGTTCTATTGTGATTTTTGGAGAGAATTTTCCAAGAGATCATGGATGTCTATTTAGACTCCATTAATAAAGAAATAGTTCTAATTGTCTTTGTATAATTGTTTTAGTCTTCTGTCTATACATTTGTAATTACATTTATTATATCTTAAACTAATATTTAAATCATTAATATGTTATTTCCACCAATTTTTCAGATCATATGCAATTTCTTTACCAAAATGCTTCCGACTAAAATGCAAAATAAAAATAAATAAATAAAACTATTTTTAAAATAATATGACTTGCATGCTTTGTTTCTGAAATTTTTAAAAGAAAAATATTTATTTTTTGTATTTCAATCAGGGATGTTGTGATAAAAAAAAAAATATGATCAGAAAAACCAATCGAAATAACATATAAAAAACTTAAACAAATATTCAAAAACATGATAGATATAATTAAAAACGTCAAAATGACATATTAAAAACTCAAATAAATATTCAAGAACATAATAGATTTAATTAAAGATATAAGACATTAGATATTTAAATTATTATATAACGACAGATTAAGGTAAATTTATTATCTTGACAGAACCTCAAATAAGTTCCAAAATTATTTCAAACTAAATTTTTTTGAGTTGAATCTCCCATGCAAGATAATTCATCAACTCAGTCTTGAAGTCCAACTGGGAGCCTAATCATGGGCGACTTGAACGATTGGGCCAATCATGGCAATAAGTAATTGACTTCAAGGAAAAAGCACATGTATAGTCCAAAATATGTCCTTGGTCTCATTCCCCAGAACAGATGGGTCAAAAAGCATTTCGCCTTACTAAGAACTATAGCTAGCCCAACAAAATTAAGCCAGGCCAGTTTTCAGTTTTGCACTCAGATTAAAAAATATAAAAATAAAAATAAAAATAAAACCATGGAAGATACCTCAAGCTTAAAAACTTAAACTAATCTCTCATTATTTTATCAGATACACAAAATGAAAAAGGTTGTTTAGGAAATTTTTTCTTCAATTAAGAAGATAAAGAAATAGAATTGTTGTACCTTAATCATTAGGAAAATAAAGATTAAAATCATGATAACATAGTATAGATATGATTAAACTATCAAAATTATAACAATTGAACAAATTGAAGATACCTATACTAAAATATAGAACAGATTGTTATCATGAAATGATATATACTGTCTAAATAATGTTACCTGATGCAGTGGATCAAGTTTATACTCCACATCAACTCAAAAATATTATCCAACTATTTTTATAGTTTTATAAGATTGTATCACTTATGAAACGAAATGTTCTCGTATAATACTCTTATTTCACCTAAATAATTATGAAAATAAAATACAAGTAATGGTATGCGTTTATAATAAGATAGTATACTTTTAGAATATAATACTTTATATCATTTAACTCTTAGTTTAGATTCAAGTCTTAGCAACTATAAATTAGGGAAAACGTTCTTGGTTTTCTTTTGAAGGATTATGCGAAATTGAGCAAAAGTTCTATCTTCTTCTAGGTATGTAATTTTCTTTCAATTTCTCTCCCTAGGTCATAATATTGTATGTGATTTTCTTTTAATTCTTCTCTTTAGGGTTGGGTATTAAATTTTCATCCTTACATATTGAATTTTTGCTGCTTTAGTACTTGATTTTTGAGTATCAGTGACTGATTTTATTGAATTTCTCTCTTTAAAAAATAGATTTTTGCATGTTAATCTTATATTTTACTGATTTTCTCTTCTAAGTCTGCTTAATTTGTGTTGATAGTTAATGGGGCGTTGAATTTTAAGTTGATTATTTATTTTCCTTCTAATTTTATTGGTATAGAAATCTTGCATTCAGATTTGACTTTCCGAGCAAAAGTATTTGAGGATTGAAGGCCGAATTATTGTAAGTTTTGTACTGACAAATGAAAGTTTATTTGGGTTGATTAATTATATGCAAGGATGCCTTGATGTTTTGTGATTTGATGATTTCTCGACCACTATGATTTGATGATTTTTTGCCTCTACATGCCTCTGCACTGATTTTCTCTTCTGGTTTCTTAAATTTAAATTGTCTTTTCTTATAAAATTTTAACCCCTAAATCCAAGTGTTCTTCCGTGTTTATTTTTTGTGTACATTCTAATTCATGTCTTTCTCTGAAGCCTTGGACCTCATGTTAGCTTCCATTTTTCCATTTACGATAGAGAAACAGTGTGAAAATTCACACTCTGCAACTCTTTCTTTCTCTCTTTTCCACTCTAAAAAAAGGACATTCATATGCATGTTACTTCCATTTTTGGTATGGAATTTAAGACCATGCGGGCAGCACCAGTTAAAGGTGCAGCTTTCTTTTCCATTTTGGAGTTTGATAGAGAAATAGTGTGAAAATTCACACGTTTGTTTTTCATGTTTTTCTTTTTTTGAGTTTTCTCAATTCTCAGCGCAACCAATAGGCTAGCTTCTTGGGTGGAGGGAAGAGGAACAGTGTTGCGAGATGTAAATTTAATGGCCATTCGCCAAGAGAAAGGCATGTCTGCGTTGCGAGCTTTTGTTTGTTGGTAAATTGGAGTTCTAGTCTTCTAGAGACCTAGTGAGGTGGCTTGACGATGAGCTTCTAAGATTTTGCTTTGTCAATTAAGATGCTAACACCTAGATTCATGTTAGGGAATGGGATGATATGGCACCCAAATCACCAACTTTTTTATTTGACCCAGAAGAACTAAAACGTACCAACACCAATTTTCTAAATCAAAATGCTGCATCAATTTGTCTCTTGTTTTAGTGCTTGCCCCATTTTGATTAGTGGCTTGTGTACAGTCAAAACGTGTTTTAGTTAGACAGCTACGTGCAAGAGTCGATCTTGAATTATATTTCAAACTATCTTCATATAACATGTTATTAATTCGATTAACCTACCACCTTCAAGTCAAATCCATCCTTGCCATGATAACACCTCTACTATCCACCTTTCTGTTTGACCCTCTTCATCTTTTCTTCAACTCACTTAATCTTACGAAAAGGGAGCAAAGCCATGAAAGAATATTCAAAAGTGGCTCTATCAATTTACCAAAAAGAGAAACACACATAATTTTTAATGTAGTGGTATTTGTGCACTTTACGCTTTTCCACGAGTCATGAAACTAGCAAATGAAATAGAGGAGAGATCACTTATACAAATATAAACAGTGCGAAAGTACAAAAATCATAAAGATATCATCATGGCACACTTTCTTTGTCTTGTTTCTTCTTGGGATTTTGTCACACTCGACTCTCTCTTCCTTTCCTTCTCAAAACACCAAGTTAGATGGTCCATTTCTCTCTTTGCAAAGAGAGAAGTGTGAGTCCCAAGAGTTAAACAACACAAACATTCGCGTGCTTCACTAAGCTAAGCTTTCTTGGGAAGACAATCCCTCTCTTTCCCTATCTCTTATAGAGTCTGTTTTTAGAGTCATTTAGACCGACATTCTTTTTTGTTCCTAGTGAATGTTTCTTCAAATATCATAGTAACATGTAAAGAGTAGGTCATATTAATTAATTAATTTCGTCTAGCTCATTGAAATATGCCCTAAATAAAGCCAAGCAATACCGGTCAATGCAGCTATATATATTATATGTATACTCGTGATTGTGTGCAAGAGAGAGTCCTGTTTGATGCTTTTTTGCATGGGAGTATAAAGCAAAGCACAAGAATAGAAGATTGACTTCAAAATTTGGACAAATCTATTTGATATCTCTGTATAAACCGATGTTGTTCCATGTTGTGTCTGCGGCCGTTCCTACTTGTTATCGCATTGAGATAAGTTGGACTTGTACCTTGGAATGTTTACCGTATATAGCTTGACCTAGATCTATACAAGAGAGTCAGGCATTAAAATCCCATCAATTCTTCTTACGAACAAATGAGTCTCTTTAGTGAGAATACAATAATAACGTTAAATGAAAGAGTTTACGGCAAAGGACATGCTTATCCTCAACTATCCTAGGGCAAAGGAAATGCGTATCCTCAACTATCACCCAATTCTCAGTTGGGTCGCTAGACAAAAGAATTATCATTTAAGTTCTTGTATATTGGACATTGCCTATTACCAAATTAACCCTTGTATCAAGACTTTAGCCTTTTAAATCATTAAAAAAAAAAATTTGTGGACTTATCTATCTTATGATGACGTCGTTTTTTTTTCACAAATTTAAATAGTGGATTAATTAGATAATGTGTGAGAGAAGAGGGATCCAATTGAAAATTTGTCTTAGTTAACAACTCCGTTGAGAATGACAAAACTCTCAATTATTAAAGCAAAAGTTATTAAAAACGTGCTTTTATAACTATTGTGTAGCAGAAAGGCTCTAAATTTTCTTAATTTTTTGAATTTGTTACTCAATTTGCAATTATCTTTTCAAGAAAAAGTCACTTTCGGTTACTTTTTTCGCAACCGAATCAAACACATTATCACAAAATGCATTATTCCAAAATATATTTAAAATCGAGCTGGACATATGACCTAATCATCGTGTCAACATTTCAAGGTCAATTGTCGAATCTAATATCCACTGGGTTGCAGTAACCTTATCTTCGTGTCAACATTTCACCAACCAACTACTAAATTACATATTAGATCCATTATATCCTTTGCTAGACTAGGTGGGATATGGGTAGTAGAGTTGCTAGTGAATCGGATCTTTATTCAAATTCGATGTAACTCTAATCTAAATAAATAAATTCGATATATAACTTTTATGATTCAAATTTATTAATTTATTTATTAAATGAACTAAATACAAATCTATTTCAAATCGATATGATAATGCTTCAATTTGAAATTAATATTAATAATGTGGTTATCTGATATTCGTAGAACTTTCACAAATAATAGGGTGTGAAATTTTTTTTTTGGGTATATGAGTTAAAGTAAGTTTTCGAAATCGCCACTAATATTAAAGGAACTAAAAACCTAAAATTGACATTGATTTAAAGATTTTAAAGCAAGGAGTTGATTATATCTTTGTAAGGATATCAATCACCCAAGTACACTTTTTTCGAAAAAAATATCATGTCTAATTTAATTTTAAAAGTTTATCTCCTAAAAGTTCTGTTTTTGTCAAAATATTTATGAGTCAATTTCCAAGTTTACTATCTAAGTCAAATTAATTTTTTTTTATTTTTGTTTATGGCATCATATTGAATTGATCGTCGGATTTCGAAGTTAAGGGTCTTGTCAATCCAACATCTTATCCGAGTTTAAATCTTAACATAAGCTGGTATGTCCGAAAATGACTCGATTACTAAATTTTGATTGATTTTAAATTAACACTTGGTCCTTATTGGATAGGAGACTCATTAAAATTGTTTAAAACACTTTCTTTCTTTTTTTCTTTTCATGTTTTATTTTGAGCTATGCGAGGAAAACATTATCAAATTTAGGAGTTTCATCAACTAGCATCGAATCCAAATTAAAGTCTCAAAACAATTGGCATGTTGATGTCGAGGAATGACACAATTAACTAGAAGTATCTATGTGAAATATTAAATAAAATTGACCTCGACTCGACTCGTTATTTTTTTTTTTTTTGGCATTTTTGACACTAAACAAATATATCGAACCACTATCCGTCTCTAATAAATATAAGACTCGTTGGTCCGACGTCGACACATACTCAACTCCATATATTAAAATAAATTTCACAATCTCAACATTTCTAAGTTTTTTTAATACAAATAAAATTAATATTATTAATAATCAACATCATAAAGTAATTAAAAATAAATACGTAAGATAAATAAATCAAATGGTAACTAAAGAGTCACAAAATGCCCCTGGTGTTAAAATTACCAAAATTCCTTTACATGTTAAAATTATTAAATTACCTTTCGGAACCTTAACGTTGCTGCCAACATGCTTCGATCACCTTCTGGTGTCCTTCAGGCAAATCGACCAGTTCACATGGAATGGGAGGTCATCGTCGTTTGTCTCGTGGTGGTCTTCTCAGTCGCTGATGACAGAGGAGGGAGCTTAGGCTCCTTAAAGATTCGATCCCGAGTCACTCTCTTATTGATAGAGATTTTGACCATGGAGAGGCAAAGAGAGACAACCAACTGATAACAGGACGAGGAACGCTTTTGTGGTGGTGGGAGTTGTTGATTTGATCGAAAAACAACAATAGTTATGAGTACATAATTGGATTGGGTCATCGACCTTCTGTCCTTACTTTCTCCGATAATTAACAATAATTGCATATAATTTTCAAAATAATAATTTCCATTTGTGTTTAAACATAATTTTTGTCTATTTCAACATTGTTATTTGTAAAACACTAAGATTTGCTTCCATACCAATCAAGTTGTGCCTAAGATAGGTGTTTTATTATTTTTCTTTTAACTTTGTCATTTTATTTGTTTAATTTAAATTAATTTTTATCTTTAATTTAAAATTTATCGGGATGATTTGATTTTGTTCTGTTAATGGTGAGATATTTAGAATTTTTTAATTGATGTATTAAATATTATTATTTTTCTTATGCATGTAATGGTTGAAACTCATTTTACGTCAAAATATAATTTTAAATATAGCTAATTTAGAAAAAAATGATAAATTTGAAAAATATTCGAATCCGATTTGAATATATTATGACCCGGATCGACAAATACAAAATTCGAATTTGAATATATAATATCCGATCCAATTCATTTATTAACCAAATCGAATTCAGATCTTATCCGAACTTTTATATATATAAATTATCATTTTAACTTCAAATCCAAAGAAGATTGTGAAAAACAAAATTTTTAAATACATAAGTGTGAATATAGATGGTTTATCTAAAATTTGAGTTAAAATATATTTACTTTTGATGTATAAAAATTGATTTATAAATATACTAGTTTGTAACCCAAAATAAATTGATATAAAAGTCTAATACAGATGCATGTGAAACCACAATACAATGCCCAAAAAACCTTACTAATTTATAAACTCTTCTTTTTTAATTATTTGATTTGTTAAAAGGGTTATCGATCAGTGTGTTACACTATAAAGGCAACATTTTCCTATTACATTATTATTATTAAAAAAGACTATAATCATGGATGTTCGAAAGCTATCTATACGTATATATATATATGTCTAGATTTGCTGATGTTGGCTCTGTAAGCAGTAAGTAACCCAAAAATTATATCCATCACTTACAAGTGGCACACCTCCTTGGCTAGACGTTATGACCTATGGCCGGTTTCTAGCCACACAATAAAGTTAAGAGAGTATTGATTGCTAACTTTTACATTAACCATCATTGTCTAACCCTAGCTGGAGATCTACACATTTTTGAAGAAGATCTTTCCACTCTTCCCTTTAATTTCTTTTACACCACCCAAAAGATTACGGTCTAATCAACATATTTGCCCCACCTCAAAAAATAACAAAATCAGACCAAATTTCAAAAACCTCTCTTATTTAATTCGCCAAGGACCAGTTGTGATTGACATGATGAAGACCATTTTTATATCATCCTACGCCAATGAACCGTATTTCCACAATTAAAAAAAAAAAAAAAAAAAAAAAAACCCTTGCTTCTTGCTAGTTTTTTACTTGGTCTTCTTGGTTACTTTAGTGTCCTTAGTTTAAAACCTAGATTTTGCCTCCCTGGCCAAAGAAGGATATAAAATTGGTAGGTTTTTTACTGCCATTCTTATGGTATCGAAAGCTAAGCAGAAATTGTAGTCAAACAATCTTGTCTTTGACGACAACGTGACGCTAAAAAAGATTTACGTAATCCAACGGCTATTAATGAATACACCCTAGCTAGCTACCTCGATGTATGCATCCGCGTCTCTTAATACCCATCAAATCATCAGGTTCTGCGCTAACACAGTACGGTTTTTCTTTTTCTGACCATTATGTCCTCCCCTTCTTTTTCTTGAGTAAAAAACAAGTAATTAGTATGATTCATTTTACATCAATGGTATGTGAATTAAATGAGATTTGCAAATCAATGCAATTCCAGCTTTACATTTATATTTGCGTATATTTTTAAAGGTTTTAGCGTATCCTATATAATTTGAATTTTTTATTAAAATTTTGAATTCTTTTATTAAATTTAAAAATTTTATTTCGTTATTGTTTTAAATCCTAATCAATAACAGTTTGACATGTATGCATTCTCATTAATGACAGTTTTCTATGACATTAATTCAATCATTCAATTTGAGCTCATTATGATATATGATAAGCTATCATTAATTGAAACTTATCACAATAACTTATCACGTATATTTATATGATACATTAAAGTTTTAAATAAAAAAATATAATAATAAAATTTTTAAATTAGATAGAAAAAAAAGTATGTAAAAACTTAGGATCTCAGTATGCAATGTAAGAAGTCTCGAATTCCTTGCCTAAGAAGCCATCTCATTCTATTTTAACATCCATTAAATTAGTTTAATTATAAAGGGTATTTTGGTCCCGAAATGTACATAAAAAATAGATACCTCAAATAAACGATAGGGTTATTTCTGATATTGGAAATTACTCAAATGAGGATATCCCTCCTGCCAAGGAAGGACAAGCAAGTAAATGTGACGGATTACGGTCTCATCAAATTTGACAGGCATATTTCTTTTAATATTTTTTTAAAAAATAAATATAAATCAATCATATTAAATAATTTATTAATTTTTATTTTAATATGCAACTTCTTCAATAAATAATTACTTTACCTCGTATATATAAATCCCTAGCAGAGGCTCCACTTACTTGACGTGTTTTCGTTCTTCATCAAAACGACATAAACCCCACGATGAACAACCAAAAATCACTCCTCGCTCCGTATTTCCCTCAACCCGAAACATTTCACTTATCGGAAATGTTTCGGCTCTTAACTGATAATTCATCCATTTGTGGTTCTTTTTTAGAACCACAAAATTCATTTCCTTCACCTTTTGCCTTTAATCATTACAACCCGGCAAATTACTCTCCTGTTTCGACCGATATTCCTGCTGTTGTTTCATTCTCTGATGTTATCAAGAAGCCACCAGAAACACCACCGGTTCTTGATGGAATTGGTGCTGTTGTAGGCCAACAAGTTCTTTTTGGTACGACCAACAACAAGAATTCTGAAGTATCGGATTTTGCTACGATTTCTCAGCGTATCGGGTCAAAAGGAAGTAAACAAGAAAGTGGCGCTAAGAGGAACAGTGTTAATCGTGGGGTTCCAATGCAAAAGACCTATAGAGGGGTGAGAAAGAGGCCATGGGGGAGGTGGTCGGCTGAGATAAGAGACCGTATAGGGCGGTGCCGCCACTGGCTTGGAACATTCGACACAGCCGAGGAGGCAGCGCGTGCATATGACGCTGCTGCTAGAAGACTTAGAGGTGCAAAAGCAAGAACTAACTTCGAAATTCCTCCTGTTTTGCCTCCTGTATCTTCTACTTCTCCTTCTCCACCAAGTGCATGTTCAGGTTCAAGTTTTAAAAATGCAGAAGTGAAGAAGAGGACTAGTAATTCTACCAACAACAAAATGATTGGTGGTGGTGTTAGAAAGTGTGCAGTTGTTACTTCTGTGGCACATTTGTTTAGTGATTTTGAAGGGAAAGGGACTAAAGTTGGTGGCAATGTGGAGCTTGGTTTGAAGTTGGGGACGGGGTTTGGTGGTCCTCACGGTGGCAACGACAATGCTGCTGGTGCTTCTCATCCATCTATGGTGGTCTAGTGGCTTTCAGTTAGTAGTATTAAGTATGATCTTTAGCTATATATGTATAAGGTTTTGTTATTTTGGGTTACTGTTGTATCCAGGTAGTTTCTTGTTCATGGGCTAATGTTAATGCATGTGCAAGAATGGTAGCTAGCTATAGCTGGCTAGTAAAGGCACATTCCTAGAAGATGATTATTGCCCATGAGTCTCAAGAAGAAGATGATGAATATAGAAACTGACAGTATTTTACTATTCCGTAAAGCATGAGTGTTTGTCTCTGTGCGTGTTTTGGGTTTTAACAAAAAATGGTGTGATGTTTTTTGAGTCTTTCAATGGCTTGCACAGTGGAGTACTAGCAATTTTTTGTCTGTAGATGAGGAAAATAGTACAAGATTAACTGGTTCAAGACAGTTCCATCGCTTGCATGCCTTGAAGGAGATATAGCCCAATATATTTTATTTTATTTTTAGTTTTATTCAGTTATTTTATTTAACATTAGAGACATAATTATCTGACAATAGAAGTGACAAAGTTTTAACACTATTTTGATTCGAATTATGCATTTTGACAACAAATTTGGGCAGAATGGATCAACTTAAAGTCTAGCTGATCATGCATCTAGTACTAGCTAGTCGGAGCTAATCTCTGTGACAGCAGAAGCTCACTAGAAAAAGATAAATATTATTATATGAAATGTAGATATGAATATATTATAACTTATTAAATTACACATAAATATCCAAAAATAGGTTTTAATTCTATTGATTCAAATATCAAAAAATAGGTTTCAATGTTATTAATTTAAAAAATATTAAAAATTAAGATATTTGTTTATGAAAATTTATTAATCAAGTAAAAGTATCGTTTTTTAGTTTCAAAAGCATATATAAATAATAAATTTCGATTACAATCTTAACATAATTTAAAAAAAAAAAACAAACACTAAAAATCTAAAAATAATTAGAAAAAATTTTTAAAAAATAAAAGCTAATAATAAATTTCGATTACAATCTTAACGTAATTCAAAAAAGAAAACAAACACTAAAAATCTAAAAATAATTAGAAAAAATTTAAAAAACATTAAAGGCTAATTTTGAAGACCTAAATGATTTTTTTGATCAAAATTATCCCTGTATCATGAAAAAAGCATATGAGTTTTGATGGTTGATTCATTTGGTATCAAACTATGTCCTAAAAACTTACAAAATTCGATTGACAATTTTACTCAATTTTTAAGGTACTCAATCCATTTCATGAATTTCAATTCCAATAACTCTTGCTTCGCATCACTCTCTTTCCATAAGTCCAAATGGCTGTGTCAAAAAGCAATGCATGCAGATTTGAAGAATTAAAGAAATAATTTTAAGTACAACTATGCTCTCCTTGGTCTACCGTATTTTTGGCTTTTGGTTGTAGAGTAGAGATATTGCTAGAAGTTTTTAAAATATGAATTAATGTACGAGTATAAAATGTCAAAAGTCTATATAGCACACCGCTGGTTGGTGTTAGCTAGTGTAGAAAGGGGACCTCTAAGCAGCCCATGAAAGGTGGGGGAGAGGGAGAGGGAGGAGAGATATGCTCCCTAACAGTTTGGTACCAGCTTGGTAAGTAATAATGGCAATTGATTAGGATTAGACAGAGTCATCAAGATATATCTTTCTCTGTGTCTGCTTCCTGTACTGAATCAAAACAGTAGTGCAGATACGCAGCTGTAAGTGCAAGTGTTGAAAGATTGAAAAGAAGGAAAGGTAAAGAAACAAATCAGACGTGCTGGATCTTGTTTTTTTCTCGTCCAGTAGTTTAAGCCTTCGATTTGCTGTTGTGAACTCTAACCTGGTTTTACTCCTGCTATATATAGCTGGAAGTCATGATTGATTATGATGATAAATATTGGAACTTGAGTGATTAAAAAGATAATTAATTCTAACCTCATTGCATGTCTGACATTCTCTCTTTATCACTTCTACCCCATCTCTCCTCTTTAATTGCAAGTTTGGTACTGCGAATATGCGATGCCATTTTTTTTTCAAAGAGCTTTTCTTTTAAAAAATATTAGTAATTAAATTGGTGTCTTCACGGTTTTAGCATCCATGTGTTTTTCAATCCAAGAATACCTTGAAAAGCATTTCAAGCTCGATAATAACCAACCGGTACGTAAAACACAAGGGTCTGGGTCTGGGTCCGGCTAAAGAGTATCAAAATTAAGCACTTGCTAGTAACATCAATTTTTTTTTATACAATAGTTATTAACGATTTGTATTAGTGTTATTGTTGAGGATTCTTTGATGCGTGCCTCGATTAAGAGGATTTTAAGATAAAAAAGAAATACTAAAAGTGGTTGTAAGGCAATTAAGATTGCGATCTATCTTCCTAATTAAAATCGAGAAACAATAATATAATGACACGAATGAAATAAATATAGGATTATTACTATGAACTATGTTCTAAGAGAAATTTTGAAATAACATACTATCATTACATAATATAAACTGAACAATTAGACATTCTTTGGAATTGATATAAACTGAATCAAAAGTTTTCTTACAAATAATTACATAGAAACTTACGGACATCGATATTGATAAATAGAAATAATTGATCGTAAAAGGAGCTAGCTATGCAAACATGACGGTGACAACCGAATTGATAACGATATCAGCTTGTTTGATTAGAATCCACTAATTATTGTCTAAAGATTATGATGTTTAGAGATTATAATCACTAAAGCTATTGATATTTCAAGAGAAATTGTCGAGTTTTTTGTATCCTTCCTCTTAATTGTAGCTTGAATTTATAGCCCTTCCAATTAGAAAACTGTCTTCTATGGGTTCATGAACTGCAATACCCATGTTTGTAATGCTCCATGTTCTTTTATCGGTCCTCTTTTATAAACTTGCACGTATTTCAAAAATGATGTACTTTTAAAAAAAACTAAAATAGTTTGGGTCTTTATTCCACCTATTCCATTCATAGGTCATTATAGGTTTTAGCATATCTTAATTCATATTAATGGGTTTATACTCAAACCTTATTTGGGCTATAACTAATTTATTAGGCTGTCAAGCTCAAAATAAATTTGGATACAACAGATATCTAAATCAGATATCGATTTATTTAATAAACTATTAAACTTATGAATCACTATTAATTAAATCGGTCTAGTTTCAAAATCGGATTATTTAAACTATCAAATTCAAAATAATCTAGTCGGTTGAACCGATCCCACATAAGTTACAACTCATTCATCAATGATACATGTCATTCACTTTGAAGAAAAATAGTTGGAAAATGCATTATGGTGCTTGGACTCCAACTCCTAACTTCCTGTTTTTGTATTACCAATCTTATGTATGTATTGGTGTTACAATATATATATATATGAGAGAGAGAGAGAGAGAGAGAAGGATCCGTCGGTTAAATCGTGGATTCGAAGGCTTAACTGGAATATCAGCAACCCACCATCTCGGTCGGGTCAAGATCTACTCCAATTGTAATAACATTGACTTATATATGTTTACTCACAGGTAAATTTCTGAAAAGACGAAGGCTTTCGATATACAAAAATATTTCTGGGACATATTCCATAATTCATACACAAATTCTATTTAGCAATCAAATTCTATTTTCCAATAAAAAAATACTTTTTAAAAAAATATATATCAACAATAAATAAACTTTAGTAAAATTATGAATCATTAGATTATAATACTAGCTACATCTTATAAAAAGAATCATATTGATTTTTTTACGTAGATTAAAAAGTACATTAAATATTATATCAGTTCATACATTTTCTATTGTATGTATTGTATTGTCGTTTAAAATTAAATTTAGTTGAAAAAAAAACACGGGAATTTAATTTTTAAAAGAGAGATGGAGTAGTAAAATTTGGTATTCAATTCTTTGATTTTTTTTTCTTTTTGAAAAAAAAAACTATATTTTAGGACATCTAAATAATTTTATTTTTTATTTTTTTTAGAACGAAGGGGAGTTATTTTAAAGTGATACCTCCATCGAATACTTTTTGGTTTACAAAATATAGTCAATATTGGCAAGCGTGGTTTAGGGCTTTAGGCATTTGTTTGATAGATATACCCCTAAAAAAATTATAAGTTTTTTCTCTCACATTCTTTTGGTGCATAAAAAGAAGGTGAAAACATTATCCTTAATTTCTCAGAGTAAATTATAAATTGTTTCTTCTTGTTTTGAAAATAAATTCATAAGTCCTTGTTTTGAAGTTGATTAGTTAGCCCCTTACATTTTAAATTCATCAATAACTCAGTCGTTTCATTAGTTTTTCATTAGATTAGTGAATTTCTTTTTCAAATTATCATTTTTTATGCTTTATATTTCTCTTTCACCCATCTTTTTGTTTTCTCTCTTTCTCAACTAAAAAATGAAAAGAAGGGTAATTTAAAAAAAAAAACAATAATCTGATAGAAAATTGATGAAAAGACTTGGTCATTGGCATAATTAAAATGAGAAGGACTAAATAATTAGTTTTTTTCAAAAGAGAAGGATTGATTAATTTGTTTCTTTAAATGAAAGGACTAATTTATAATTTACTCTAATTTCTTAACACCATACTCCATAAAAGCAGGAGAAAATGATCCTAATAATTAGTTCCACAGTGGCCTCGCTGGTTTGGTTGATAAATTCGACCAATAGAAGAAATTCAAGCCTTAACCACTAGATTGTCTTTATGAAAAGATAAAATTAACATAGTGGTAATTAATATCACTTGTTTAATGGTATTTTTTGCTCCCTAACGTTAGGATTGTGGCAAATTGAGACTTATATTATTAATTTTATGGATATTGATCTTGAAACTATTATATTTTGGATAAATATTGTTTCCTTCACTTTATTTGACGTTGGTATTCATAAAAAAATTCCTTTAAAAAAATTCAAATTTTGATATTTTAAACTAAAAATTTTCATATAAACAAACTAAAATTCAATCCACTTTCACAAATAATTTCAAAATGATTTGAATTTGAAAGTTTTTTTCTAAATAA